GGTCTCTCACCTGGCCAGGGAGCGCCTTGGGATTCCCTGGAGAAGCTGGCCCAAATGGCTGGGGAGAGGGGAGTCTGGGCCTCTCGGCTTAGGCTGCTGCCCCCGCAACCCGGCTCAAAATGAATCGACGGATATTTTAGGTTTATTGATTATTTCTGCAAAATATTTTGTCTCCAAACATCTTTGAATATAGTCATTTCCCATTTCCAAACAGCATTTAGTTGATTTACTCTGCTCACCTCACATGGATTCACACTGGCTAAATAAACAAAGACAGCAAAAAAACAAAACAAAACAAAAACAAAACAACAACAAAAAAGTACTGCTGAGACTGGGATGTGAACCTGTGCAAAACATACCTGCCCAGCCCTCTAACCACTGTCGCATTACAACAGTCGCTTAAGCCACACAGCCTGTGCTGGCCAGAGGAGACAGGTTTCAGACCAGAGACTAGCTTCCAGGAAAGGAGCAGGTAGTGATGACAAAAAACTAGTTTCCATTACAGGTTTTTCAAATTAAAACTCCAAATTTGGAGCTGAAAGTGGAAAAATCTAGCCTGGCAAGCTAGACTAAATAAATGTATTATTTATTTTTTGCAAAGCAAGAATTTGGTCTAGTTCACTAGGCTAGGAAAATTCATGAATGCAGCCAAAAAACGTTTATTTATTTTTTGGACCATGAGGGAATAACCATATCACACGGTAAAAAGCTTTAAAAAGTGGATTTCCATTAAGTGGCCCATTTAAAAAGAAATTGCCTTAGCAATGCAGAAGATGTGTAGCCTGGCCTGCCAGACTCCTCCTCTGTTTAATTCTGCACAGAGAAAGAGTCTGGGAACTCTCCTATTAAAATAACCCCGCCCCTTGAGAATTCTAACCGAGCCAATCAGCGCACACCACAACGCCAAGTTTTGTCATAAACATGGTGACTGAAGTGGAGTTCGCTGCGGCTCTTTCCTCTGTTCTAAATGACTCAGATATCTTTAAAACCACAAGTAGAAGCGTTAAAAGCATTTCTTCTAAAAAAAAAAAAGATGTTTGCGCCGTTGCCAGATGCCATTTTTTTTTACTACAACTAGAAATCTACCGCGTGCGGTAGGGATTTCATTCTTTTTTCTGACTGGTAATTTTTGAGCTTCCTAGTCCCGCCCCTCAAGTGCCTCTGCCTGTGAGTTACCAGACTGGCAGGCCAGGCTAGAAGATGAGTGGGAATGAGTCAAAATCTGATAGGAAATGTTTTAAAAGAAGACACTGTAATTGGCTCCATCTTGACTTGTTAGCTCTTCTGTTTGATGAGAGAAAGTGTCCCAAATTTGGTCCTTCAATGATCTATAGGCGGTTTATAACAGTTCCAGATAAATCCACTCAAAGGTACTGACTGTGCTACATATTTCTGACAAAAAAGAAGGAATTCAGAAGGAATGAAATAGACAACCCAAACAACAGCATTCCATACATAACTGAGTTTTGTAGAAATGGGTTGTCAGAATTATATGCCACTAAATATAGCTTAAAAAGCAAAGCTCCCATTTAGAAGTGGAACTGGGATTTTTACTGGAACTGATAAGTTTCAGCAGCAGAAACAAAAAATATAGTCAACAAAGAAATTAACACGTTAAAAACAAAAAGCCTACAAAACTAAACTGCAGCACAGCATGGTATGGCTTTATATCTGGAAGAGGAGGTAATATATCTCCAGTAAGTAGAATGAGGTTTAAATTTGATCAGAATTTTGTCTATGAGTACTTGATCCAAACCAGATTAACATTTTTTTAACTGCACAAACTAAAATGTTGCAACCCGTATCTTCATGGCGTCCTTAAATATTTGTAACAGTACAAAACAGTTTATGAGGGGCTTTTTAATTTAAAAAAACGGTTAAAATGTGGAGAAACGCGATTTTAACAATGATGGGGTCTCTTGTAAAAGTCAAAACAAGAACACGGTGAACACAGACGCGACCATGCTGCTTTAAAAAGCGTTTCTGGCATTCTGGGTAATTGTGTTTTTATTTCTCACGTTCGTCACTGGTCCCCGGTTTTACGCTTCCAATAGAAACTACACACCCCACCCGCGCCAACTCTGAGGTCCCGGATGTCAACCGTGCCGGAAGAGAAGAGGGTCCTTTTCCAGCCATCTTGTGGCTTCATCTAGCGAAGTGTTCGCACTAAGCCTCGTAGAATCGGAGGAAAATCCTGCTGAAGGGGCGCCATCATGCCCGGACAAATGCAAGAAGGTTTTGGCTGTGCCATAACCAATCGATTCGACCAGTTATTTGACGATGAGTCGGATCCGTTTGAGCTGCTGAAGCAGGCCGAAGTTAAGAAGAAGAAGGAGCCTGCTGCTCCTGGTGCCGCCAAGACTGCAGCCCAGGCTGCCAAGCAGCCAAAAAAGGAGTCCCAAAAAGACAGAAAGACACCCCTCGCTGACAAAAAGGAGGAGACCCAGGCACCTGTCCCACTTAAAAAAGACGGTAATTTATTTCAACAATTTAGGTTTCGCGCAGTTATGACACTGTAAGCTAATACGCTAAGTTACAGGCTAACGGCGACGTGACATGAGGTCCGTTTGGCTGCTTCTGTGCTTTTGTATGGTGTCACCAGCCTTGAAGCAACAGATAAATACTAACGTGTTTCAGCTGGGCATGTCACGGTTGTGTGGGAACCTGCTACATGACCCGGTTGTTTAGCTAACGATCCCCACACCACAGAGGCCTGGTTAAACAGACCCGTGAAGCCTGACCTAACTGCAGGTTCTGATATGTTAACCCTCTCCGTGTGCCGTCTGCAACCATGCCCACTTGTTGCCTTCATCGTCGAGGTAGTTTAAAGGCTACCGTTACTGAATGGTTCGGGCTCTAGATTAGAGCTGCAGCACGTGCATCATGGCCGGCGAACGGCTTGTGTCGTTTGTTTGGGCGGATTTATCTGATGGCATCAGGAGCCGCGCCGCGCTCGTGCTGCTGATAAACCTCGTGGCTGTAGCAGCGTGGGGCGTGTTGAGGCCACAGCCTATATGAGCTTACTTCCTACTGGCGCACAATAAACACGCAGCACGCTGTCTGCCTGCATGAAAACTCACATTTTCTCTAACATACGTGTAATTTGGAAAAGTCGCCGGAAATCTATAAACACGGATCTTTTAAGTGTATGACCCCTGCTTCCGGAGCTAGATGAACTTATTTTCTGTCATGTCAGCCTTGTAAAGTTGGCTCATATTTGTTTGCTCAGGAGAAGATGAGACAGGTGCACTGAGTGTGGTGCAACCAGCTGCTGCTATGTAGTGTAGGTCTATTTTGGTATCCGGTGATGGTCAATGGGTGGGATTTATTTCACATTGAGCTGCCTCGAGGAGGGTTAAATACCAAGTCTGTAATAATTATTACTAATAATTCATAATATATTCAAAGCTTTCAATTATAAAAGTTGCTATTAAAAAATTCGTGATGCAAGTGTATCTTTATGAACAAAAGGTAACAGCACAGAGATCCTGTATCGATTCCCCATTTGGGGTTATATAAACTGACTTGCTGCCATTATGTCGGTTGACCCAATTAAATGGATTTATCTGCTCCACTTAAATTACACAACAAAAATAAACTTCCCATTGGTTATCTGCAGGTCCAGGTCTACCTATGTGACTGGTCATCTAATGATCTTGTTTTGGTCATTTTTTAGGCGCTGGGATGAGAAAAATGGGCCGAAAGATAGAGGTTGAAGGCTCCAGACCTCAGGGCAACCAGGGAGAGGGGCGGCCTCCTGCTGACAGACGGCCTGTGGACAGGCGGCCACCTCGCCGTTTCGAGAGACCTGCTGGCGACGCTGGAGAGAAGCCTGAAGGTGGCGAGTTTTCAGTAGAAAAGTGAGTTTAATCCCTATAAAGATTTTTAACTAACAACCATCTCTTTGAGACAAATAGTTAGGTCTTTATCTTTTTTTTTTTTTGCATCACAATGCTATGTGGCTAAACGTATAGCCACCATAATCTGTATTTTAAAAACTATATTAAAATGTTATTTTATATTACTGATTTTACCCAACACAACTTTTTGGGGGTTTAAAGTTGATTTCAGCTTGTTTTTATATGTCCAGCTTGTAAATAAAACATTTCTAATTCACTGTCTCTATTTTGGTCACAATAAGGTGTTTTTATTTTCTATTTTGTCACATTTAGAAAAGGTGCTGTTATCTTCTAGTAGAAAACATCTAGAGGTATTTAGCAGTAGAAACGCAGTTTTGCCTCAGGTATTTAGACACCCGAAGTAGAAATAAGGAATTACATTTTATTTATTCATATTATTAGTTTAGCTTCTATGGCTCAGAAACATATGGGTGTGTATTTGATGTACAGAAGTAGTAAAACCCAAAATATTCAGAATAAGCAGAATGAAATATTTGCTTAAAATTCTGATCCTACTTTTGTGTGAATATAATCATGGTCATCTGTTTTGCTGCATCTTCAGGCCTGTTGGTGAAAGGCCAATGAGGGGTCGCGGTGGTGCCAGGGGAGGCCGTGGCGGCCGAGGGCGGGGCATGGGTCGCAGCGATGGCTTTGATTCCAGGGGAAAACGAGAATTTGACAGACACAGTGGCAGTGATCGATCGTAAGTGTTGATTTTATTTTTCAGAAAGTTAATAAAAAAATCTGCTTGTTTTAATTCTGTCTGATAATGGCTAATGTTGATTTCTTTTAGTACTCTGAAAGGTGAGGAGAAGCGTGGTGGAAGTGGATCTCACAACTGGGGCACCGTGAAGGATGAGCTGAAGTGGTACGTGCTTTAAGAGCACCCCGGATACAGGTTTTATTCTACAGTCGAGCTCTGGTTTGGAATGCAGGAAATAAAATCCTGTGTGATCTTTTGTCCCTGCAGTGAACTTGACCAATCTAACGTCACTGAGGAGAACCCTGAAGGAGAGGAGCACCCACCTGCTGACTCGGAGAACAAGTAAGTTCCTGTTTGGTCTGACTACTTCTCTCTTTGGTTTACCATCACTCACCATGATGGAGTGAGCCTACAACATCACCCTGCCCCAACAAGTCCAAGGTGTTATCCACTTGTACTGGGATGCTGATGGTAACTTGTGCTGGTGTTGCTCTGCTGAAGGGAGAATGAGGTTGAAGAAACGAAGGAAGAAGGTCCCAAGGAGATGACTCTGGATGAATGGAAGGCTATGCAGGACAAAGAAAGAGCCAAAGTAGAATTTAACATCCGAAAGGCCAACGAGGGAGCTGACTGGAACAAAGGATTCGTGCTGCACAAATCCAAGGCTGAGGTAAGTTCAAACCATTGTTCTTGTTGATAGAAAATAAACAAATTAAAACTTAGTTTACGTATTACAGATGTTAGTGATGACGTTTGATCAATTGTAGCTTTTTTTTTTTTAACTGAGGTTGTTCCAATGCACTTGCATTCATTTTCAACCAGTTGTTGCAATCCACTGGCACAAGGCCAGTGACCTCACATAAAAAACGTCTTCGTTTAATTTGAAAAACTAATGAAAAAAACTTGCATAATTTTAGGGGTTGTTGTGTGTTTGCGTACTAATCAGATTTATCAGCTTTAAGAATAATGCAGCGCCTTTTAAAAGGAGATGAGGGCCAAGTGTATGCAATTATAAAGGCCTACCATTTATTTTCTGAGGTGTGATAACCATGCAGCAGAATATGAGTGTGTAGCCTAATTAGGCATACACACACACACCGTAGCGAGTGTCTTGTATTCTGTTTAGACATAGTTGCTAATTTGAACTTGTCCAACACAGGATAAGAAAGGTGAGCTAACCGAGGAAATTGAAGAGCCAAAGGTAAAATTCTAGCTCACGGTATTTAAAAAGCTTTAACACAACAAAGTGAGAAGAAAGTTTTAATTAGATGTCAAACCTTTTGTAATTAGGTGGGAGACGATGAACACCACTTCCGGAAACCAGCCAATGACATCACCTCCCAGTTGGAGATAAACTTTGGTGACCTGGGCCGTCCGGGCCGTGGACGTGGCGGACCACGCGGTGGCCGAGGGGGTCGAGGCCGTGGTGATGCCCGCGGTGATGGCCGCGGTGATGCCCCTAGGCCGACTCGTGGAGGAAGGACTGATCGGGTATGTATTGTATACTCACAATTTAGTTGTATTTACTTTAGTTACATTTCTGTGTCACAGTGGATAGAGCTGCTGAGCCACTTACATGAAGTTTGTTTGTGTACCCCACTGTTTCATTCCTCTTCACATCCAGTTTTCTGCGTCGGTGCCAAATGTGGACGACCCAGAGGCCTTCCCAGCCCTGGCTTAGCTCTGGCTGTTCACCCTCAGGCCTACAGGAGCCTCCTGAGCACCTCCACTACGAGGCTTGCATGTTCCTGGATCCTTCAGCAAAGTCAAATGATGGAGAAGACTGTCATAACTATGACACTCTTACGTGAGGACTGAGTTTTATCCAATAAAAAATTTGACAAATATGGAAAAAAAAGAAATTAACAAAAAAATACATAAAAAGAAAAGGACTTCTTGCTACTCCGGAGCAGCTTGTTGGTAGAGGTTTTGTACTTTGAAACAAAGTAGCAGGGATGTTTTCATACAGTATTTTTTTCAGAGGTTATGCATTGTCCATTAATAAAGTTTTGTAATTGCTGCTTGAAAATATGCATTTTTGAAATGTAAGCAAAATAATTCTTTTCTTTTTTTCTTTTCTTTTCTTTTTTTTTTTTTGGCGTGGTGATTGCTGTTGCTAGTTTTCTTTAAAATGGGCACTGTGGAGCTCCACCTCAAGCTTGAAAGCTGTGCCTCATGGGGGCATTTCTGATGAAGTTAAAGCTCGACTCAATGAGATTTTAGGATTTTTTTCTTTAGCACTGATATGTTTTATATTTTATACGGAAGGTCTATTCTTATATGATCTTCAACCTATAAATTAGCTATTTTCATACCTTGTTTCAGAGACTATTTCACCTGGTGCACATAGGATACAGTGTGATCTCGGCTCGAGATGCTGCCTACATTTTAATGCACATATGAAAAAGCCACTTAAATTGGAATTTTTTTAAACTCAAGTGTTAAACTACATTTGGTCATTGTGGTGAAACACAACCTGAGATGTTGGTCTAAAGGATTGTGTCCATCTCAATTTCACCATCTCTTTTTTCATCCATTTTTGTCCTTGGTTTATGGACATGCGCTAGTTAGTGACTGCCTTTAGTTTAACTTATGAGTGAAAAGAAGAGGGTGTGTTTTTGCACAGCTGAGATGCAGCTAAAGCCCCTCTCTGTTTACACACTCCACTCAGCATCTGTCCACACACACACACACACACACACAAGCCTAACTCAGCTCAGTCCCGGTTTGGTTCAGCAGTGTTTGTGCTGATTTTTCCTCTACTGTTGCTCGGTAGCCTCCACAGTGGTACCACTGCATAATTGCTCTGAAAGAAATACAGTTGTCCATTGTGTGGAACAACTGAAGTGCTCTACAATTGTGTGAATTCCAACCCTGCTATTAGACCTCTGTCGATAAATAAAGATGGTCGACAAATTTTTTTGTCCTGCTGCTTATTTTTTTTTAGACTTTTTCTTACCACACATCTAATGTGCTCTCACAATTCTGAAACTAGGATCTTTTACCTGCTTATCCATGTCCAAGCTGAGGCGGTGAGAAACAAATCATGCTATGAAAGTCAAAATTAGATTATAATTTATTCCAATATAAATATGTATACATACAGGTAGGGCAAGTTGTCCGGTAATCGGAACGTTGCACAATCGAGCCTGGCTCCGACCAGAGAATGCTGCTGTTGTGTCCTTGGGCAAGACACTTAACTCACCTTGCCTGCTGCTGGTGGTCGGAGGGACTGATGGCGCCTGTGCTCGGCTGCCTCGCCTCTCAGGCCTAGTCCACACGTAGCCGTTTTTTTTTTTAAACGAATATCCGCCCCTCCAAAATCTTGCATCCACACCACCTCGTTTTAAGAAAAAAACTGTCCACACGTACCCGGATAAATACGTTGTTAAGGACATGCCAGACCTGTAGGCGGCAGTACTTCCCCCGTTCTTAACCTCGTCCTTCGTCTGTGGTCTTCCGCAAGGAGCAGTAGTTCTGCTTGCAAAAACAAACAAGCAAAAAGCGCTTGGACAATTGATAAAGCGAGCGCAGCTCTGAGGGCATCCATGCTGTCGGCTAGTGTAAACACAGGTCGCACACGTGATGTCAGCATTTTTTTTTTTGTCGCGGAAAGTGACGTTGTGGTCCTTAAAACTCCGGTTTTGTCTGTCCACACGCAGACACCCAAAACGGAGAAAACGCAGATCATCACTTTGGCCGGAGTTTTTAAAAAGATCCGTTTTCGTTTGGATGACAGGCCAAAACGTAGAAAAATATCTACGTTTTGGTAGATCTCTGGCTACGTGTGGACAGGGCCTCTCTGTGCCCCCAGGGCAGCTGTGGCTACAATGTAGCTCATCCCCACCAGTGTGTGAAGCACTTTAGGGGGTTGTAGAACCCTAAGAAGGTGCTATACAAATACAGGCTATTAACCATAAAAGTTTAAAATAGGAAATTAATATAAAGAGCCTAACAGTAGGATGGTTTTAACAGCGCTATAATGTTCATTCTGTCTTCTTTTGGTCAAGTTTTCAGTTTCTTTAAAAACAACAGATCAAGGTTTTATTTACAGGTTTCAAAGGCATCAGCCGTCTTCCTGCGAAGCCGTCAAGTGACACTTCAGAGGAAGGCTGCAGATGCTTGTGGAGACATGTTAAGGTAACTTAAAAAGTGATCGGTTGGTAAAGTAACTGAAAAATGTAGGATGGTTTTGTTCATTCAGTTTCACAGTGCCCAGTGAAGATGGTCACGTTTTGAATTTCCAAACACCAGGTGCTTAATCTGTTAACCAGTTTTTGTCCCTGACGTGTCAGAATCATTTTCATGGTGTTATATTCTTATAGGGTAATACGTGGACGTTTATAAAACTGGAAACTTGTTCATCTTCAGTTCTTTACATTCAGTGCTACTCAGTTTTATTATGAGCACCTGAATAAAGTTTATAAACTGACCATAATACAAACATTAAGTGTCAAAATATCCTAAAGATTCATTCATTACAACCTAGTTGATGGTTGTAAACTTGCTGTCATGATTATTAAGGGCCAGACTAAGCCGATCTTTTCTGTATCGTTGCACCTCGTGAGGGTGGTTATCCAGAAATTCTAAAACTGAAGTCTGGATGTGGTCCATTACCTTCTCAGTGGCCTAGTGAGTGTCCACCCTGGGACTCGGGGTTCAAATCTGGTCGGGTCATAAGACTTTAAAAATTGGACCCAACGTCTCCCTGCTTGATGCTCAGCTTTAAAGTGACAGTGTGTATTTTTCCTGGCAATAGAGGGCAGTAGATAGCTAAATCGTTGCAAGCAAGCAGTATTTTTGTGTTGGAGTAAGACCTTACCAATGGATGCCCATTAGGGTCTAAAAGCCCTGGAGAGTGCAAACTTCAGTAAAATAACGAGCACATCAGACTCCCTTTTATCAGTGGCAACAAGTGAAGAGGTAAATGTGTAAAACAACATTTATGAATGGCGAAAGTTTTTTTAACCATTTGTTACAAATCAGTAAATGCATTTTGTCCTCATGAGCTCCCGTAGAAGGAGACATGGCATCTAATATGGTGTCGTCCAGAGACTTAGACCTGCTTCCATGTATTTAGACCTGATTTTTATGGTTATATGTTATGAAGCCGCCAGTATTTTTCAACAACTGGGCATCATTTCATTCATTTTCAACAATATTCAACCAGTGTTGCGGACTGGGTGGATGTGGACCAAAAAACAAACTCCTGCTCCAGAGAGGCAAATTCCAAACGTGACCAATATCTGATGTTGCCCACAAGGACAATCCAAATGCCTTCTGGTGAAAGGTTTTATGGTTAGATGACAACTGTTGAGCTATTTAACCAAAATTAAAAGATATTTTTGGTCAAGGAGAGGCTTTAAACCTAAGAACACTGCTGGTACTGCTCCAAGTTTGGAATAACACAATATTAGGACAACTTCCAGATTCACCAACTTCACTTGGTTTAAGTGTTCCAAAGGGACAATAATCCCAAACACACACTGGGACTGGCTAACAGGTAGCTTCTGGATTGGACTTCCCAAAGCCTCAACCACAACCCTGTTTAAATTTATGGATTATGATTAACCCTCCCAATGGGTGTGACCCCACGAGGAAAGTTGACCATTGAGGAGGGTTGATGGTTTATCCCTTGGGTCTATGTGGCAGGGGTGAGGAGTGAGCACCACCTCACCCCTGCCACATAGACCTCAAGGGATAAACCATCTTCAATGGTCAACTTTCCAGCCGGGAGCACCCATAAAGACAGTGGGAGGGTTAAAAATTGAATCTGCCAAAAAATAATTTGAATGATTTTTACTAATTCTGCTGAGAAGCATGATCACGTAAAGGCCAGAATGATACCTGGAGCTGTTTGTCGCCCTGCGAACACGTACCCAAATTTGTATGGAGGCGTGTATAAAACTATGTAAACCATATGAGGTGGAGAGAACATCCATTCGTACATGTGACCTCAGTTCTTGCTTTCAGCGCCACTGGGGAAGTACGTTCTATAATTATTCCACCCTGGAAAAAGAACTTTTCAAATTAAAAGCCCCATATCACCATTACATTCAAGACTATGAGTGTGTGCCAATTTTTGTCGGTCACCACTCCGTCTGCCTCTAACCTGAGTTCAAATACTCAAACTGTCCCAGTTAGCCCCAAATATCTTCCCACAGTCACTGCTTTGACGTTTGATGAGAAAACTGCCAGGAGCTTCTTCACAAGCAGGGATTTTATTTTTTGATGAATTTTGAATTCCTTCACGAACAAGCAGGATCACAGGGGTTTACGTCAAAGAGCTCAGCAAGTGTAACAAATATATTTGAGGCTGTTTAGCAATTCATGTCATGTGATGATGGCTGTTAGTTAATTAAATGTGGGGTAATATTTAATCTCCATAACCCTGAAACCTAAATCAACACACATGACAACAAGGAAGACATTTTACCCTGAGTCCCCAAAATAATGGAGAGTTAACGCAGGGAAAAACCTCCTCTGAGGCTTTTCCCCCGTCACTCCCATGTATTCTCAGTTAGCCAGGGGTTTTATTTAGCAAAGGATGGAGAAGGCGGGGCCTTCTCAGGTTACAGAGGTACAGAGGTTTCCTCGGAAATCCACAATCAACATCCTTGACTGCAAACGAGCTTCTCTGCTCAACCTTTCATGAACAGCCACAGTTGGCAAACACAGAGATTCATGAAGTGTTAATAACACAAATTGGGCATCTTTTAGGCCTCAGAAAGATACAATTATAAAAATACCCAACAATGGCGCTTCTTTACAGCAAACACTTCAGCTTTTTTAAAACGAATCAAAAGTTGCATTCACTTTAACATTGAGGTAGGATGAAAGCATGGCAGTGAGTGTGTAGGAAAGTTGAGGAGTGTGTATCAGAGCGTGGGTTGTGTTGGAAACTAACAATAAGAGCAAAGCAGTCGTGCTTAGTGTGTCTGTAGTCATTCTATTAGAAAGAAAGTGTAATGCATGACAGGATTTCTGCAAATCTGAATCTTAGACTTCAGCCAGAAAGTTCTTGGTGACTTCATCAAACACGGAGTTCATGTGCGTCTCAGCTTGAACCTAGATCTAAATTACTGAAATCTGGCGTCACTTTCAGCATCTGCTGTTTTGTTTTACTCTTCCAAAATCCATTTTCATCTCCTAGGAGAGTTCAGGTCTCAGAGTCACAGAAAGTGTTCTTAAAAAAAGTCACTGCAGTCGATTTTCACTGCGTCCAGAGTCAGCTTCCCTCCAAACTCCAGAGGATCTATGAAGATGTTGAGACTGGGCACGAAGTGCATCGGCTCATCCCCGTCCTCTTGGTCATAGGCGTCCAAAAGTTCTGGTCCGTGGGACGTGATGTAGTCAACTGTCGTATCTTGCGAGGTCTCAGTGTGGTCGGAGCTGTCTGAGTCCTGGGACAGACTCTTGATGTAAGGCAGACAAGGATACAGGAGCTTGATTTGCTCGGTCTCTGGGCTCATGCTGGTCAGAGGAGGTGACGAGAGGCTTGTGGGGGTGTCACAGATCTGCTTGGACAGCTCCTCCACATTCACTGGGATGGTCTCGTCTTCCTTGATTATCAGACCGGCACTACCAGACGGGAGCTGGAGGCTCATCTTTCCCTGAGTGGAGGAGAGACAATCGATGAGAGGAGGAACAGCTAGCTCTGTCACATCTGGAAATCTGATCTTTTCATACGTACTCACCTTCTCTCTAGTGCACTCTTTAGCCCACTTGCTATTTGCAGGATCTGGCACAACTTCAGGAATGAGGCAGTAGAAATACTCCCTGAACCTGAAAGCAGAAGGTGGAAAACTGTTGAGCATTAAGGAAACTTTCTGTTTTTAATGATAGTTCTAAATATTCTATTTACAATTGCATTGTGTTTTCATCAGAGCTGTAAAAAATGGAATACCTCTGTTTTACCGTGGCACTGTTGCAAAGACAACACAGAAAGAGCACCACCGGGGCAGCAAGCACAAACACGAGCAGAGGGGGTAGCTGGGTGTTCTCTGGGACAATAAAACACACGTATGAGATTATGCACAGACAATTTAGAAGAAAGGCAATAAATATGTAGCATTTAGCATTTAATTTACAACTTAATGTTAAAGTAGATATTCAGACCTTACAAAAATTCCTGAGTTTTTATTCTAACACTTATATATAAAGGGAGTGCAGAATTAGTTGGCAAATGAGTATTTTGTCCACATCATCCTCTTCATGCCAAATATAGAGTTCCTGTCCGATGCTCGTGCAAGCTGTATAGGCTCGAAAGCCTACTACCAATTAAGCATATTAGGTGATGTGCATCTCTGTAATGAGAAGGGGTGTGGTCTAATGACATCAACACCCTATATCAGGTGTGCATAATTATTAGGCAACTTCCTTTACTTTGGCAAAATGGGTCAAAAGAAGGACTTGACAGGCTCAGAAAAGTCAAAAATAGTGAGATATCTTGCAGAGGGATGCAGCAGTCTTAAAATTGCAAAGCTTCTGAAGCGTGATCATCGAACAATCAAGCGTTTCATTCAAAATAGTCAACAGGGTCGCAAGAAGCGTGTGGACAAACCAAGGCGCAAAATAACTGCCCATGAACTGAGAAAAGTCAAGCGTGCAGCTGCCAAGATGCCACTTGCCACCAGTTTGGCCATATTTCAGAGCTGCAACATCACTGGAGTGCCCAAAAGCACAAGGTGTGCAATACTCCGAGACATGGCCAAGGTAAGAAAGGCTGAAAGACGACCACCACTGAACAAGACACACAAGCTGAAACATCAAGACTGGGCCAAGAAATATCTCCAGACTGATTTTTCTAAGGTTTTATGGACTGATGAAATGAGAGTGAGTCTTGATGGGCCAGATGGATGGGCCCGTGGCTGGATTGGTAAAGGGCAGAGAGCTCCAGTCCGACTCAGACGCCAGCAAGGTGGAGGTGGAGTACTGGTTTGGGCTGGTATCATCAAAGATGAGCTTGTGGGGCCTTTTCGGGTTGAGGATGGAGTCAAGCTCAACTCCCAGTCCTACTGCCAGTTTCTGGAAGACACCTTCTTCAAGCAGTGGTACAGGAAGGAGTCTGCATCCTTCAAGAAAAACATGATTTTCATGCAGGACAATGCTCCTTCACATGCGTCCAAGTACTCCACAGCGTGGCTGGCAAGAAAGGGTATAAAAGAAGAAAAACTAATGCCATGGCCTCCTTGTTCACCTGATCTGAACCCCATTGAGAACCTGTGGTCCATCATCAAATGTGAGCTTTACAAGGAGGGAAAACGGTACACCTCTCTGAACAGTGTCTGGGAGGCTGTGGTTGCTGCTGCACGCAATGTTGATGGTGAACAGATCAAAACACTGACAGAATCCATGGATGACAGGCTTTTGAGTGTCCTTGCAAAGAAAGGTGGCTATATTGGTCGCTGATTTGTTTTTGTATTGTTTTTGAATGTCAGACATGTATATTTGGGAATGTGGAGATGTTATATTGGTTTCACTGGTAAAAATAAATAATTGAAATGGGTATATATTTGTTTTTTGTTGAGTTGCCTAATAATTATGCACAGTAATAGTCACCTGCACACACAGATATCCCCCTAAAATCGCTAAAACTAAAAACTACTTCCAAAAACATTCAGCTTTGATATTAATGGGTTGTTTGGGTTCATTGAGAACATGGTTGTTGTTCAATAATAAAATTATTCCTCAAAAATACAACTTGCCTAATAATTCTGAACTTCCTGTATATATATATATATATATATATATATACAAGTCTGAGCTGTCGGTTAGACTTTTAAGTGAAGTTTTCACTCAGTTTTTTAGACAAATTTCTTTTTTTTTGCAAACAAAGCAATCAAATATAGAGTTGAGTTACTGATTTAAGCCTGTGAAGCCACCTATGCTGAATAATTGTTCTTCCGGTGTTATTTGAGTAGTTTCTACAGCTGCTTTTGCAGCAAAAAAGCCTCAAACTCAAATGATGAGCCAGAATTGTGTCACTGCATAAGAAAATTGGTAAACATGCTTTCTGAAAACCTGATTTTGGGTTGTTTGCTAACAGCAGCCAGTCACAAAGACACAACCTGATCCAGTTTATTTAGGTGAATCTATTTAAAATACCAAAGATGACACAGGTGGACACACAAATTACAAAATATTTTGCATTCGGTGGTTATAATCTTAAGTAAATTACAGTTTGCAATTATTAAAATGACTTTCTTCAGCTCAAATGCATTGTGTCGTTGTTGGAATTACAAATACAAACTCATAATAACGTCAGAGCAAATATGACGGATCATTTCTGAATTTTTAACAGCAGAAATTTTTGCATTTTGTCCAAAAATATTAAAGTAAAACTTTATGAAACAAAGCAAAACTGTCTACCTTCGACAAAGAACTCAATCTTTTGACCTGCAGGACTTTCTCCTTTGGCAGTAGAAGCACTCATCCATAGACTGTAGCGACCTGAAGGCAGATCCTTCATCACGTACTTCCTGTCCGATGCTCGTGCAAAGTCTAAAAACATGTTCACACATAGCAGAAAAGTAAATTTTTATCAGTATTTTAATTGTTTAATTGTTGATCTTAATTGTTTGTATGTTTAACTGTGGTTTTGTCTGCTGGACGTCGTGTCTGTGTTCAAATTCTCTCAATAAATTCTATTCTATTCTATTCTATTCTATTCTATTCTATTCTATTCTTCTATCCTATCTATTATCTGATTCATTCACAGCTCTCCCTCTCTCTCTCTCTCTCTCTCTCTCTCTCTCTCTCTCTCTCTCTCTCTCTCTCCCTCTCTCTCTCTCCCTCCCTCTCTCTCTCTCTCTCTCTCTCTCTCTCTCTCTCTCTCTCTCTCTCTCTCTCTCTCTCTCTCATTTCCTCTAAACTTACATGTGTAGTTGGTAGTTGCCTGCGATCAAAAAGCTGCACAAAACAATAAAATAAAAAAATCTGTTTTGGACAACAACAAAAAAAAAGACTAAGGAAAAAGATAAACTTGTTTATAATGCAATGCTTTTTAGTTTGCATTTGCACTTTTAGCAAGAAAAACAATATTTCATTCAAATAATCAAAGGATTAAAGATTTATGAGAAAGTGATGTGAAGTGACATGAATAAAACCTTTTGTAATTCCAACTGCGTGACAGTTTTGTGCTGACTACCTTTTGTACCACTATGTATGTAACTCATTACCACAACCTCTTCAAAGACAAACATCATTTATCATCAAGATTTACTTCTAAATTATGTATCGCTCCTTCAAAAAAAAAAAAAAACCAACAACTATACATAGTAAATGACATCTTACAGAGCTTCTGGTGACTTTTGTTGTCCCTGTGCCACTTTAGGTAGATGGTATACTTGGTGATGCATCCTCTGCGGTGAATCCTGGGAAGCTCTGGCCATGTTATTATTGTTTTGCCTCCTTCCACCATTTTTTCAATGGATGGACCAAGCGTTGGAGCTGCAAACAATGATCAGAACCACAGAAATGAGTCAAATATGACCAAAAAAAAAAAAAAAAAACCAACAACCCCAAAACAAAATAAAAACTGCTATTAAGAGGAAAAAAAAACATCCTGTTGGGGACCTACCTGACTCCAAAGTGGCGACTCGCTTAAATTTGGTCCTACTCACTAAATCCTCGTTGTAAAAGGCAAACACTGCTCCCTCATAGCACACCCAGGGACTGATTCCTGCATAACAACCAAGTTGCAGAAGAAACTAAATGAGTATATTGTTTTCATAGACATCTAAATGATTGACTAAATCAACTATCTCTGGATCTGGACTCTAATTCCCCACCAGTGAGAACAGTCCTGGTGTTGTTTTTCCCCAGTCTGACCCACTTGATCTCCTTCAAGTTGGGGTCCTCTGGGTACCACTCCACCACGTACTCAGCAGGTGCAGCTTCGAGTTTTCTCCAGGAGATGGCGATGGTGGAGTTGATTCCTACTGCTCGCACATCCTGAAGAGTGTTGGCTATAGGAGAGCAAAGCATCTATTTACTGATGCACTTTCTGCCGCAGTCACACAACTTAATAATTACAAAAGAACAGTTCCTTTCAGGCTGTTCTGGGGAAATATTAGTAGTTTCTTTTCTTTTTTTTTTACCTTTAATTCGATGGATCGTTATGGTTGCAGGCGGGGAAAGGCCTTTCGAGTTACGGGCCCACACTGTCACTTTACAGTCTGCACAGAACAGGCCTGAAAAACTCTTGTTGCTAGTGCTGGAATTCATGATGGTCCTATTTCTGCTGTGAACTCTGACTCTATAATCCAAAATCCTTCCACTAGAGATGGACGTGTTGGCCTCCTGTAAAGTAAAGAAAATCCTAACTTCAGCACACTTTTACACATTCTCATCGGATGAATGAGCGGGTCTAAGCACCCTATGAATCCATGAGAACCGCACTACAAGATGAGTGTGTAAGACGCCTCATTTCTGTTCAGCTCCTCTTTTTCTTGTAAACTGAAACTGTGGTGACTACTGTCAGGTTTCAGTTACCTCTGTGGGTGTGTGTGTGTGTATGACCTTCAGCAAAGGTGAGGCTGTGGTAAGACCTGGTGTGTGTATATGATGATGTCGAATATAAGAAGTGGTCAAGATGAGATCTTTATATAATGCAGAACTGAGAAGAGAGGCAGGAAGAAAAAACTGTCACTATGGCTATACAACAGACCTGGCTAATGCAAACAACAGTTATAAACAGAAGAGCTATAGAAAACAATCAACGCAGCAGCGTTACATGTGCAAAGTGTTGCTTTGTGCAGAGATTAAATTATGGAGAAAAAAATTTGGTGACTGTTTTCAGTGTCTTTCTGCAACAATTTAATTTATAACTTCATCAAAATACCACAACTGTTCTAAAATCACACCAAGGAAACCAAAGGAATTAAATAGACACATTTAAAAGTAAGGGAACTTGTGTATAATCTGTTCTTTTTTATTTTGTAACAATGAAAACAGACCATTGAGTTCAGCTCAGTGTAGCTACAAAAGGTAACAGCGCTGCCAGAGAAGGAGAGAAAGAGAGAGAGAGAGATCGGGTGGGAGGAAAGTCTCCTGATAAAATAATAGAATAGAATAGAATAGAATAGAATAGAATGCCTTTATTGACACTATACAATTGTAAAATGAGATACAGAGCATCTCCTACTCAGTGGGGGGGGGGGGGGGGGGGGGGGTTTACAGTTCTGCAGCGCTATAGACATGTGGACAGGATTTGTGTTATGTATATACAGTTATTGCACAAAGAATTGGTATAAATAGTGGTGGTCAATAGAGGAAGTGGGAAGTGGGGGGCTGTGTTATCGGTGCATGTGTGAGTTCAGGGTGGTTACTGCTTTGGGGAAGAAACTGTTTTTGAGTCTGTGGGTTTTTTGTATTAATGCACCTGTAGCGCTTCCCTGAGGGAAGCAGTCTGAACATGTTGAAGCCAGGGTGGGAGCTATCCTTGATGATGTTTGCTGCCCTACTGAGACAGCGGGAGGAATAAATGTCCATCAGGGAGAGGAGAGGGCAGCCAATGATCTTCTGTGCTGTCTTTACCACACTCTGAAGCCTCACTCTATCCGCCTTGGTGCAGCTGCCGTACCATACCGTGATGCAGTAGGTTAGCAGGCTCTCAATGGACGAGCGGTAGAAGGTCAGCAGCAGGTTGGAGTTCAGCTTGTACTTCCCGAGGACTCTCAGGAAGTGCAGCCGCTGTTGGGCCTTCTTGATGACCGCTGAGATGTTTTCCGCCCAGGAGATGTCAGCAGAGATGAGGACACCAAGGAACCGGAAGGTGTGGACCCTCTCCACACACTCTCCGTTGATGTAGAGGGGGGCCAAGTCGGTGCTGTGTCTCCTGAAGTCGACAATAAGCTCTTTGGTTTTCTTGGTGTTCAGGGACAGGTTGTTTTCTGAACACCATGCTGCCAACTTCAGGACTTCCTCTCTGTACTCTGCCTCGTCTCCCTTCGAGATGAGTCCGACTACCGTGGTGTCATCAGCAAACTTGATGATGAGAGTGTTATTGTGGGTCGGACTGCAGTCGTGGGTGTACAGAGAATACAGGATGGGGCTCAGCACACAGCCCTGTGGGGTGCCGGTGCTCAGTGTGCGAGTGGAGGAGAGATGAGGGCCGAGTCTCACCGTCTGGGGCCGGTTTGTGAGGAAATCCTTTATCCAGGCACATGGGAGAGGAGGGAGGCCAAGAGTGACCAGTTTGTTGATGAGGATGTCCGGGATGATTGTATTAAAGGCTGAGCTGTAGTCCACAAAGAGCATTCGGACATAGCTCTGCCGCTGCTCTAGGTGACTCAGCACAGCGTGGAGGGCTGTGGCGACGGCATCTTCTGTGGATCTGTTTGCACGGTATGCAAACTGGTGGGGGTCGAATTCTGGGAGGAAGCGATCCTTAATGTGCTGAAGGATTAGTCTCTCAAAACATTTCCTGATTACTGGTGTGTGGGCCACAGGGCGGTAATCATTTAAGCTGGAGATGGGAGACTTCTTCGGTACTGGGATGATTGTGGCTGATTTTAGACGTTAAAAACTCACAACGCACAACTTTGTGTTTTGTTTTTTGGCATCTGGATGTGATGCATTATTTGTTGAAAGGTGCACAATCTTAGTTTTTTTAACTGTAAAAGTAAGGGAGCAACATGATGATGTTAATTTCTGTCTCTTATTCCTAGAAGGAATGATGAAATGTCTCTGAAACACCTGACCTGTTTTTGTAGTGGAAGCAATGTTTTTACACATAATTTATCACAAACAGTACAGAGCTTTATAAATTAGGTACTTTTTTTTGCCACAGCAGACATTTACATAAAAATTAGGGTGGGGGTGGGGGGGGGGGGCTTCAGTAAGGACCGGGTGTCTAAGACTGTTACCCAAGGCTTAAACTGGTCTGGCAGCAGTGGATGCACAGGTTTTCCCAACAAGATTATCAAATAAAATTATATTCAGCTGCAGGGAGTTAGAGAGACCTTAGAGGACTCGGATTTACTTACTTTCCAGTAGATTGTCATGGGTTTGACATCAGGTGGGAACCACACATCCAGAGCTTGAGATGGTGCTAAAAACAAACAAAAAAAACATTTTACTTTCTTTGCCTTTACAAATGTATGATTCCATTCTTACACATCAATATTGCTGTACTTCAAATATTAATAATAAACAGTTTTAGTCAGTAATGCTTTAAAATACTTCTATGTGCAGCTGTGAGCTAACATCTGACATAAAAATAATAAAACTGATAAATTCACATTTAAAAATTGTTTATATTGGCTAATGGCCACAATGCACAGAATTGAAACTAGCGAATCTCTGGATTATTTCCATAATCATCTGTTGGTTTTGTGCAGGTAACATGCCTAAAAAGAGGAAGAGCAAATATCACACTGACGGGTCTCTAGCAGCAGCTTTAGATCGCTCCCCACCCTTTAAAACGTGCACCAGAAGATCCCCACCTCCTCCCAAGTTCCTGCTTTTATGGAAATTTTAGTCAGTTTGGAAGGAAGTTTGACAAAAATGCAGGATCTTTTTTAAAGGTTGGAACCCAGCGGTCACACACAAGGTATGAGGTTGAAGTTTTTAAACTAATTTGGTTAATTTTAAAACATACATACAATAACAGACAGTTGTGGTGCATCTGTCCTGCTGAACAGTTGCAATGTTGCAATGTTCCTATTTTAATGTCAAAATCCAAACTACGACATTTAAAATCTAAATGAAACATCCTCACTGCAGTTGTTGTGGACTTACTAACTTTGGTCTAACTTCTTAAAATTGATGTATCGAAAATAAAAACACATAAAAACATAGGGTCTTCAATTAACCAATTTACTAATTGGAGTCTATTATTTGTTATTTAAATAATACATTTGAGCTCTTTAATGATGTGGACATCACCTTCCTTTTGCATAACAATGACGATGATGAGCAGATTTGTGTAGATTGGATGTTTCGTTTGTGCTTACATGAATCTTACTGTCAGACTTTAAATAGCTTCTCTTACTATTTTCTGTAAGTGGAAACTGATGATCTGTCACTTTTGCAATAATGTAGAAAGGCCTGCATATCTTCACTGAATCAACGCGTCATCGGCTCCGTAAGTAAGCTGCAACATTTCCCACAAAGCACGGCTTAATGTTTAACCCTCAACAGAATGCTTTTGGATTATCTTTACTGAGAAAATAAACTAAAACTGTGGTTTTCAACCCAAAGTGCCACATTTGCTAGCTCCCAGGCTTGCTGCAGGCAGTCGGTGGTAGACTGATAACAGGATCACAAACACAGATGAGAGGAAATGACTCTGATGTAGATAAAGTCCCACAAAGGTGAACATGCAGAAGAGGAGCTTGTGCTCGAATGACGTGCTGCTAAAAGCAAGGCAAGGCAGCTTTATTTATGGAGCACATGTCAAACACAGGGGCAATTCAATGTGCTTTACAATTATCAGGACATGATAAGTAGAGCTCACCTTCCTCTTGAGTCCAACTAGCAACACTTTCGCTCCACACACTCCACAGACCAGTGCTGAATTTGGAACGAGCTCTGAAATCATAAGACCTGTACGGTTCCAGAGAAGAGATGTTCTGGGCCTGGGATGAGCTTGTTAACGTGACCTGAAGGTCAGTATAGGAGACATAAAAGTCAGAGTTTTACATTTTTGTCTGTTAGAATGTTAATGATCAACAATAAAACACACAAAAGACCAGAAAAAGTCAAATATCAGCTTGTTTCTGTCTCTCTTTGTGTCATTGTTAATTTATTTCTCCACATGTCAGCTAAACCAACTCATCTCTGCCTCCAGCTCTGAATCAGCAGAGGAGCGACCTGCGTGGATCATTCAGCTGTTGTACAGCTTCAAATGTTTTAATTACAGTTTTTATTGACATATCTCATGTTTTAACTGATCTGGAGGTTAAAGACTCCTTACAGAATCTGGATGTGTCTTCCACTCTTGCTCTTGGCTGGTTTTGATTTGGATCTGGAGGCTCTGGATCTTTACTGATGTCTCTGCTTTGATGATGCAGTACCTGGAAGAGCACTCAGGCTGTTGAAGAACAGGCCTGGACGGTCTCACTAAAAAAACAAAAAATGTGCAATGCTTGAAGGATAGGCTGCAATGGTCAGACCAACTGAATTTGCCAGTTACAGCCTAGCGCATGGTTTTATTAATCATCTCACATTCAAAATATGTTAATAATGTGTTTTACACACTTTAAAAATATCACTGCATGCAAATCTGCGCTGAAACATCTGCTCTGAGTCTTACCGATGTCACTAACTGTGTAGTTCACTGGAGAAGATTCAACAGAACCCAGAGCATTTTGAGACTGGACCTGAACCAAGATGCTCTGAACCAATCTGGACAAACTGAAAGTGGTTGACAGGAGCTCAGCTCTTTTACTGGACACATTGAATACTTCTATGTGGTTTCCAGATCCAGTTCTCACCCTGAAATCCACAAAAAAGTTTCAGTTGTAAATAAAACACACAAATAACACATTGTTGTTAAAAAAAAGTTACTGCCCCACTTGAAAGCTCATAGTTTCACTGTGATTAATCATTATTCAGAAAAATGTGCCTGATTTCACCAGCTACACCCTGACAAGATCACTACTAGTGGAATGTCGGTTGCGAACGAAACGGCTTAGAGCCGGCTCCATGAAAGGACCGATCAGAGCCGGCTTGGAGGAGCCAGAGTGTGTGACAGAGACTGTACCCGCGCACCCATCCTACCCTGAACAGCCAAACAATGGCAAAAAAGTACACACACACACACACACACACACACACACACACACACACACACACACACACACACACACACACACACACACACACACACACACACACACACACACACACACACACACACACACACACACACACACACACACACACACACACACAGTGCTTCTGATCCTTGTGAGGGGGTGGATCGATACATGAGCACAGAAGGGCATCGGCAGAAATGCCAGATGCCAGCTCACCAGTTGCTGATAGCCCGACACACCAACCTGTGTACAACCTGGATTAATTACAAGAAAGCATATGACTCAATGCACTCGTGGATTATTGAATGCTTGGAGATGTATAACATCAACAGGACTCTGAGAGCCTTCACAAACTCAATGGGGCTGTGGAAAACCACCACTGAGACCAACTGCACAAGTCTCCATCGAATGTGGCATATACCAAGGAGACACCCTGTCTCCACTGCTGGTGCATAGGTCTGAACCGCCTCAGCCAAATAATCAAGACTGGCTATGGATACCGACCTAAGAATGGAACCACAATCAGCCACCTCCTCTACATGGATGGAAGCTGTACAACAAGAGCGAGCGAGACATCGGCTCACTGATCCACACCACCAGGATCTACAGCACTGATGTCAGAACGTCATTCAGACTTGAGAAGTGTGGTCGGATGGTGACAAAGAAAGGGAAGGCAGTCCACACAGAAGAGATCTCACTCCTAGAAGGAACAATAGCAGACATGGAGGACAGCTAAAAGTACCTTGGTATCCCACAAGCAAATGGTAACCTCAATGAAGTTGCAAGGAAAGGAGCCACAGCCAGATATCTACAACGAGTAAAGCAAGTCTTAAGAAGTCAGCTCAATGGTAAGAACAAGATCCGTGATATTAACAGCTACGCCCTGCCATAATCAGATATCCTGCAGGAATAATAATCAGGCCAAAGGAAGAAACACAGATCTCAGAAGTTAAGACACAGAAGCTCCTAATCATGCATGGAGGGTTCCATCCCAAATACAGCACCCCGAGACTGTACACTAGCTGTAAGTAAGGAGGCCGGGGACTAGTGAATGTGAGAGCCACTGTATAGGATGAAACATCCAAGTAGTGTACAGGAACATCTGAGTATGGACTGGAAGCCCCAAAGTCAAAGTGGGAAACACCCCTAAGGTGGTAGAGAAGAGAGAGCCAAGCTCCTGTTGGACTTCCAGATCCAGACTGAAAAACAGGCGATGGAGAACCAACCAGACATTGTGGTAGTGCACAAACAACAGAGGACAGCCGTTGTAGTTGATGTGGCCAACACATTCTCACACCTGAAAAAAAGACGTGGGGTGACCAAGCGATTTTTTCCGATGCGCAGTGCCAGAGCATCAGTATCCGATACCTGCAGTAAAATGGAGCTTTCACCGAATTCTGACCTTTACCCTCTTGCTAGTTAATCTCCCCCTCACCCCCATCCGCAACAGGGTTAAGGTCGGGATGGGGGGTGAGGGGAAGGTTACATAGCAAGAGGCAAGGGGTTAAAGGTCGGTGAAATGTGCATTTTTACGCGGACGTCGACAAACAACGTTCTGGCACAACGCGTCGGCTCCCGAAGCGTTGGAAACAAACACTTGGTCACCCTGCGTCATTTTTCTACGCTTTGAGTGTGAGAATGTGTTGATGTGGCAACACCAAGTGATGGCAACATCCTTAAAAGGGAACATGAGAAACCAGAGAATACCAGGGCCTCAAAGCAGTGGCGCCCCCAGAAGAATTTCATAGGGGTGGTCACAGGGCCGGAGAAAATGTTGGGGTAGCACACAAAATTGATCCCCATTAGAATGGTAATTTGGCATCCCCTAGTGGTGATATGTGGTTAGCGCTTCTGAAAAAGGACTTGCAAAAATGCAATAGTGTGATGGTCTGGGTCTGCTGTCTACCAGAAAACCCGGATAAAAACTGACCTTTGACCTTCAACAGAACATTCATGCTGCAAACCCCTTCCAATGTGGCTGAATTAAAACACCTCTGTAAAGGATAAAATACCCGTAACTCCTTACCAACTACAAACACGATCAAACCAAGCAACCAGTTTTTGAGCTTAAAGGACAATTCCATTTTGTTACTGGGCCAGGATGGCTTCCTTCCCTAATCAGCACTTGAAATGTTATTTTGTATTTACATGAATTGTTTTAGCCCTACAATAAAATATGTAAAATTTGATTATGAGAAACAAATAAATAAATAAAATAAAATAAAAAAATATCTGTAAGGGGGCAAATACTTTTTCAAAACAATGTAAATCATTCATAACAGTAAAGAAATGTCACTTCACATTGACTCACCACAGCTCAAAGTGATCTTTAAGATGAGTGTCCCGTCCTCTGTTCCACGTGCAATTCACAACTCCATTCCTACTCTTCAAGGTTTCATAAATGCATGAAACGATTTTTGGAGGATCTGGTGGATCTGAAGACCAATTAGACAAATCAGATCATCATCATGCCTTAAAAAAGTAAAGTTTTCAGCAGCAAATCATTTTTTGGGGTAAAATACTGTCATCTATTTCTGTGTTTTACTTTCAGAGTGTTGTGCGTTCCTCAAAGGTTTTCTTCTTGCAAACAAGAACAATATCAGTTATGTTTGTAGTTTTTGATACTGCTGTCCAGGTACTTCTTCATAGTTTTATGAAGCAAAGGTACACTTCTGCACCTGTTATAACCAACATCTCTGTAGTCAGAGAAAGAAGAGCTGTAAATGGCGTGCATGCTAAGTAAGCAAAAGCAGAACTACATGGGTTTTAGCAACTAAAAGCATTAAATGTCAAGTAATAGAAAAAGAAAGCTACATGCATGCAACTGAAAGCATCCTGCAGATTGTCAATGCAAAAGGCTGTGTCGGTGGTGCGATCACCAGTAAATCTGCTGGCTCAGAGTGAATAAATGAAACCACTTCAAGGTTAACGTACATCCAACTAAGATGTCCAGGCCACAGGGGTCTGCTGCATGAGGACAGGAGGGCCGGTGGGCTATGTACTGATCTGGTGAGCTGCAATGACAGCTGTAAGTTTGTTTCTCCGTTATGTTCTTCACATGAAGGTAAATGGTTGTGGAGTTTAACTGTTTGTGCCCCTGCAGTGTGGGAGGGTGGTTGCTGCACATGGAGCCCTTGCATTTGCACTTGAAGGTGCAGTACACATGGAAGCTGGAGCCTCGCAGCACTACCGAACCAACGCTGGACGAGAGGACACAGAGTGGTTCCCCTGAAAGCAGAAATGTTGATTACATCATTTATGCAACATGTTTAGTGTTTTATGCTGTGTGAGCTAAATTTTGAACCATACATGGATATTTGTTTTAAGACTCTAAAAATACCCTCCTGTTTGAACTTTTTTCTTGTTGAAAGAAACCAGAAAAATAAAAGACAAAGAAAAAAAAAAGATGAAAGGAAAAAAATCTTGGGTTAATTTAAAGTATAAAGTTAATTTATTAAATAGCCGGTTACATAATATTAATTATAATGTTATGATGCTATAAAACTATAGCGTTTAAGTTTTCACCAAAAAAGTCCCAGATAGTTTTGGGAGTTTTATTTTTTTTTCAGTTGAGTTAGTAAATATGTCCAATAAGAGATGTGCTCCATAGTGAACCTCCAGGAGTTAAATCAGAGTTTAAATTAAAACACAAGTCATCATGTTGATCCAAACTACAACAAAACTTCAGAAAGAAAACAAGATCAGTGGAGTTAAAAGCACCCAAAAGCGCCATTGCGCACGAATGTTTGCGCTTACCGACGCAGTTCTGCACAGCCAGCAAGGTGAGTGCGATCACAGAGGTCAATGACAGGAACATGTCGAGGAGTCACCAGAATCTTCATATGTGCCTTTACGTCATCAGGGTTGTTTCTTGCCCTTAAAACCAAATATGATAAATGATTAATACACCGATTAACAATCGTTAGATCATGATCTGGAAACGGTTATTTTATCCCTTATATGAAAACAGCGCCGTTTTCATCTGCGCACATTAAGGAAAAGGAAACTCGGACCTTCAGACTCACCAGATCACCGCATCCGGGCTTCATTTCAGCGTTTAAAATCCTCCTGGAATAAAGTTTTAAAGTTTCTGGCTGCGTTCATCCTGCTGCTGCTGTGTGACGGTCGCTGCCTGCTGATGTGATAAACCCCACAGACTCCGGTGTGTCACGGCTTACCATGTGACACACACACACACACACACACACACACACACACACACACACACACACACACACACACACACACACACACACACACACACACACACACACACACACACACACACACACACACATACACACACACACACCTCTGTTTGCCACTGTAACATGTTCACACAAACACTTTGGGACTTTCCCCTCTAATAAAAGCTGCACCTTAAGCACAGACACTATCAAAGCTAAGAGAATCAGCATTCACACATTCACATAAACAATCAGACAATTCTTCTAAACATTAGGGACATTCTAACCCTTAAAGTGCTGATGGGAGCCACTTAAATGTTGATAACTTGAAAAAGGAAGTGAGAGAACTCTCAGGAAGTGATGAAAACAGTGTCAAGTGCAGGTGGTGTGTGTGTGTGTGTGTATGTGTGTGTGTGTGTGTGTGTGTGTGTGTGTGTGTGTGTGTGTGTGTGTGTGTGTGTGTGTGTGTGTGTGTGTGTGTGTGTGCAGAAGGTTCTGGATCATCATCTCAGCACCAACCAAGAACTGTTGGCAGTAACAGGGGAACCACCAACAGGCTCCTCTGGTTGTGTTTTGCAATAATTTCACACTTGGTGTCACTTCAATGGTCACAGAAAAGGTAGCACAAGGTGTGAGATGTTTATTTATGTTTGTAGAATAATGTTTAGTAACTGAAGATGGGCATAATTTCTAATGCTTTACAAAATGAAACTAGATAGGAGTTGTTAGTTTTTACTTTATCATCATCATCATCATCATCATCATCATCATCATCATCATCATCATCATCATCATCATCAACAACAACTTTATTTGTAACGCGCTTTTCATCAACTAGGAGGTTAAACCAAAGCGCTGTGTGCTTTAGTGAATTCAACTACACTCAACAAAAATATAAATGCAACACATTTGTTTCTGCTCTGATTTTTCATGAGATGGACTTAAAGATCTAAAATTCATTCCAGATACACAATATTACCATTTCTCTCAAACATTGTTCACAAATCAGTCTAAATGTGTGATAGTGAGCACCTGTGCATTGCTGAGATAATCCATCCCACCTCACAGGTGTGCCACATCAAGATGCTGATCCGACATCATGAGTAGTGCAGAGGTGTACCTTATACTGCCCACAATAAAAAGGCCACACTGGAACGTGCAGTTTTTTGCTTTATTAGGGGTCTGGGGACTCAGAACCGTTCAGTATCTGGTGTGACCACCATTTGCCCCATGCTGTGCAACACATCTTCTTCGCATAGAGTTTGTCAGATTGTCAATTGTGGCTCGTAGAATGTTGGTCCACTCCTCTTCAATGGCTGTGCGAAGTTGTTGGATATTAGTGGGAACTGGTACATGCTGTCGTATACGCCGGTCAAGCACATCCCAAACATGCTCAACGGGTGACATGTCCGGTGAGTATGCTGGCCATGCAAGAACTGGGACATTTTCAGCTTCCAAGAATTGTGTACAGATCCTTGCAACATGGGGCCGTGCATTATCTTGCTGAAACATGAGGTGACGTTCATGGATGTACGGCACAACAATGGGCCTCAGGATCTCATCACGGTATCTCTGTGCATTCAAAATGCCATCAATAAAATGCACCTGTGTTCTTCGTCCATAAAAGATGCCTGCCCATACCATAACCCCACCACCACCATGGGCCACTCGATCCACAACATTGACATCAGCAAAGCGCTCACCCACACGACGCCACACACGCTGTCTGCCATGTGTCCTGAACAATGTAAACTAAGATTCATGCGCGAAGAGAACACCTCTCCAACATGCCAGACGCCATCGAATGTGAGCATTTGCCCACTCAATTCTGTTACGGCGACGAGCTGGAGTCAGGTCAAGACCCAGATGAGGACAACGAGCATGCAGCTGAGCTTCCCTGAGACGGTTTCTGACAGTTTGTGCAGAAATGGTTTGATTATGCAAACCAATTGTTTCAGCAGCTGTCTGAGTGGCTGGTTTCAGACGATCTTTGAGGTGAACCTGCTGGATGTGGAGGTCCTGGGCTGATGTGGTTACACGTCATATGCGGTTGTGAGGCCGGTTGGATGTACTGGCATATCCTCTGAAACGCCTTTGGAGACGGCTTATGGTGGAGAAATGAACATTCAATGCACGAGCAACAGATCTGGTTGAAATTCCTGCTGTCAGCATGCCAATTGCACGCTCCCTCAATGTTTGTGGCATCTGTGGCATTTTGCTGTGAGACAAAACTGCACATTCCAGGGTGGCCTTTTATTGTGGGCAGTATAAGGTACACCTGTGCACCACTCATGATGTCAGATCAGCATCTTGATGTGGCACACCTGTGAGGTGGGATGGATTATCTCAGCAAAGCAGAAGAGCTCACTATCACACATTTAGACTGATTTGTGAACAACGTTTGAGAGAAATGGTAATATTGTGTATCTGGAATGAATTTTAGATCTTTAAGTCCATCTCATGAAAAATCAGAGCAGAAACAAAGGTGTTGCGTTCATATTTTTGTTGAGTGTAGTTTGCATCTGGAATAAAACTCTATCTGTGTGTTTTCTGTTGTGTTTTGGTGCAGGCTACATATTGTCACTGTGCTATGATTTTTAGGTTATCATCCGTCGTGTTTGTGTTATGTGTTCTGGTCCGCAGTCACACTCATACCTGCCACAACCTCAGATGTTATCCTTCATCTGTGTTGTTGTTTTCTCATGAGTTTTTCCATCATATTTAGTCACTTCATAATCTCAGTTTAGTTGTTTTGATTAGAAATGACTGGATTCATTACCTGTAGAATGTAGGTACATTTTGGGTTTTATTATTAATATCTGATTATCCTGAATTGAGTCATCCACGATGACAGCTTTCTCCTACAAGGTTTAAGTTCATCTACAGGCATAAAAACAACTTCAATTGAACCCAAGTTTGTTCAACTTTCCATATTTAATCTACTCATGTGGACAATATGCATTTTGACTTTGACGTATAATTTAAAGGTGTGGAACACTCGTTTTATCAACACATTCGCAGTGGTCTCAATGAATGAATGCCTTGAAAGTCATACTCTGGGGAAATAAAGCCCAGAAGTGCATGTATCAGCTGGAGGAGAAAGTAGCTTAAGACGTCAGGATTTGGAGACTTATTTCCTGATATTTGGACATCTCACCTCAGATTGGATAAAAGCAATCAATCAAAATGAAATCAAAGATACTTTATTAATCTCAGAGGGAAATTAGAATTTCAGTACACACAATTCAGAGATCAGACATACATGGGCAAGACACATGACAAGAATTGGTGACTGTGGCCATTCGCAACCCTGAGTCGCGCTACCTTAACAGAGATCAGAGGGTTACATGAGGAATTAATTCGAGAGGAGGGAAAAAAAAGGCACTTCACAGCTATCCTCCCACCAGGAGGGCAGCTTTGTTCTGCAAAAAAACACCTCAAACAGATATGCAACAGACTTCAGACAACACAACATAACATGAGACTCCAATAGAGCTCCGGACCCCACGTGACTCTCAGTTAGTGGACGCCATTTTGGCATGCAGAAAAGGTAAACAAACACGGATGTAACCATGAACATGAACGGGATCCGCTTGGATTTTACTTCGTCGGAGTTTACTTCACACTTTAAAACAGAAGAAATCGTTTTATATAGTCAGAAATTAAATAGACTAAACATCTCCGACCCTTACCGTGCCCGTGGGATACTTTTTAAAAACGCCAGAAGCTGTCGGAGCGGATTTCTTACCGGCACAACACCAGACCCGGCCGGGGGAACCCCTTGGGATTCCCCCAGCCGGAGGAGCTGGGGAGAAGGTCTGGGACTCTCGACTCTACTGCCCGCTCCGACACCAGAAGCTGTCAGAGCGGGCTTCTTACCGGCACAACACCGGACCTGGCCGGGGAACCCCTTGGGATTCCCCCCGGAGGAGCTGGCTCCGGCGGCTGGGGAGAGGGAAGTCACGCTACTGCCCCCGCAACCCGACTCCGGATACGCGGATGAAAATGGATGGATGGACGGACAAATAACAGATTTACACGTAAGTAGTCTCGGTGACACAGATAATAGCAATCCAAAGTGCTTTTTATGTGTGATCTGACAATTGATCAACCATTGCTTAAAAATTAAATACAGCTTAGCCGGTTAATTGCTGTGATCATAAAACACGTAAACGGCAGCACGCAGAAATCACGAGGCAACGTTTTACGTGATGTTTACTTGTTGCTATGAGTAATAAGACAGAAAAAGCCACGCCAAAATAAGTTTAGGAAGCCCACTAAGAATCATAATAAAAGCATTTAAAATAAATACCGTACACAGTTGAGGAAACGTTGGTTTAAGTACCTGATATGAAGTGGTCGCTGCATAAGCGAAAACCTTTACTCTCGGGATCCCACAGTTTCATTTTAGCCCGGCCACTAGCGCGTTTTATTACAATGATCCAACGTTTGTGACGCTCTGGATCTTGGGGAATCCTGTAGAAGGCTCATTCCTTATGCCGTCCGTGTCTGTTCTGCATCCTGGGGCACAACAGGAATCTACCATATTTCCTGTCTGATTGAGTTTTCTGACAATAACAAATAGTCCAGCTGCCGGCTTCTGCATGCCAATATGGCGCCGTTTCGATTTGAACTGTTGCATGCTGGGAGAAGTGACGTCAACTCCCGGAGCTCTATAGGAAGGCGGGGTGGGTGGGTGGGGGGCTGGGATCCTGTTTCCCCCAGCGAGAGCAGCCATCTACGGCACTCAGCCACTGTAGCCACAGGTGGGAGGGAGATCTTGGGAGAAGCGCAGAGCACATTGACTCCTGCAGGTTGATGACCTCGTCAGGCTGAAGACCACCAATCCAAAGATGGGGTGGTGGTGGGGGTAGGTCGGGTTTTCACAGCATCTGTCTGCATTCCTTCGTGGGGGTTTGTTGCTAGCCTCCCAAGGCTGCTAGGACATCAGATTCGGATAACAAGACTTTGTTTGGGTCAGGCTGAGATAATTTTCCTCTCTGCCTTCAGTCTTTAAACTGATCATTCCAGTCCTTCAGTGAAGCCAATGTGGGTTTTTAAACTTGTCCATACCATCCGGTGACTCTCTCCGAGATGACATCCATTTTGCGCACTAATACCGGCATCACAGCTAGAACATTGTCCAGCTTACGATTCACCTCGAGTAACGTCCCAGTCTGAGAAGGCTCCACACGGACGGTGCTTTCCGTGGGTGCGGGTCGCCCTCCAATCGCTCCCGTCTTCCCAAATTTTCAGAAAACCAGATGTCCTCCCACTCCAATCAGGAGAAATCCAGTGATCATCAGGCCGAATATCCACACATCTTCGACATCCTCAATGGACAGCTGGGAGAGGCATACGATCTTCCATTCCCTCCAGGAATCCAGCATATACCCCGCTGGGTGTGTCCACTGTGGGCATGTGGGAGCCCCTTGCTCCGTTCTCATTGTTGAAAAAATCTTATCAATCGTGTTGAATGACCAATTTATCAAATCCATGGTTAAAAATGGGGTTTTTCAGAAGAAATGCAGAGAAGCGCTCTGTGGGCAGACAGGACAAAGAGCCTTGGGAAAAAAAGATAAGGGAGCAAAAAGAGAAGCGTCTGTACTCTGCGAGTGCCAGGAAGAAAAGATGGGACTCTACCACTGTCTCTGTTTGCGCTGCAACATTGATGTGTTTTCTCCACATACAACGCAAGCCTGGAGGAGTTCTGCTATGTGGTGGAGTTGCTAATTCTAATGATTAGCTTATACTAGCTGAGACATTCTCTACTCTTTCCTTGACGCTAAACTAACAACAGCCTTACCCGTCACGAGTCAAGATGGGTGAGTCCATGAATGTTAAAGGTACACTATGCAATTTTTTCCTATTTTTTAATCATTTTCTTGAGCCAGTATATGTTAAAACTACTCTTACAGGATTAATGAAATGTCTCTCAGACACTCTCTCTCTGTGGCCAGAATACTACACACTTTCAACTTCAGAGTTGCTGTCTGGTCCCTGCTGGTGGAGGGAGTGGAGTGTAGCTGACATGGTGGAGCTGACAGTCTGCGTTCAGCGCATTTCCTGCATGCTATAGATCACAAACACAGCGGATCTGCTTGATTTGGTGATGGGCCGCTCCTCTAGAAGCTAATGAAAGCTGAGGAGACATTTCAGCAGATAGATTAAGGTGTTAGAACGATGAACGCACAGCAAGGAGATACGTTTAATTTTCGGTTTAACCACAGTGACTAAATAACGGACACTAGGGGGTGTTAGAAGCAAGCAAAACTGCAAAATGTGCCTTTAAGTGACAGTGTGTTGATGCTTGCGGTCAGGCTTTCAAATCCTTAAGTTTCACTGTCTAATTCAGGAGGTAGGTGTAGGAGACTATTTTCATGTTCAGCTTGCATGAAAAATTCAGAGTGACTGATTATAATCAGAAATAATAATTAAAAATCATTTTCAGTAAACCACACCTTTAACAAACTAATGATATTAAATTAGAATATTGTTTTTGTTGGTCTATTTGTGGCCTGTGGGTGGTGCTGTAGGTAGAGAGAACAAACTGAATGGGGGCCTGACATATGCAAATTCACCATCACACAAGAAAACAATTTTGAATAGCACTCTAATGACCTTGAAAGGGTCGAAGGATCAGCACACAAACAAAAGCCAGAAAACTCAACAGATGTTTTCATCAACTCAACCATGGTCAAAAGTCTTTCTTTGAGCAAGGATTTACTATAAAATGTAGTTTATATAATCCTTTAAAGTTTGTATTTTCCCTGGTGATGGGGGGGTAGTACATACCTCAATCATTGCAAGCAATCTGTATTTTTGTGTTTGAGTAAGACTTTCCCAACAGATAGGGTGACGGTGGCACAGGAGTTAAGTGCTCGCCCTGTAATCGGAAGGTTGCAGGTTCGAGCCCCTCTCAGTCTGTCGCTGTCGTTGTGTCCTTGGGCAAGACACTTAACCCACGTTGCCTGCTGGTGGTGGTCGGAGGGACCAGTGGCGCCAGTGCTCGGCAGCCTCGCCTCTGTCAGTGCGCCCCAGGGCAGCTGTGGCTACATTGTAGCTCATCCCCACCAGTGTGTGTGAATGGGTGAATGACTGATTGTGTTGTAAAGCGCCTTGGGGGGTTCCAGGACTCTAGAAGGCGCTATATCAAATACAGACCATTTACCATTTACAGGCCATTAGGGTCAAAAATGACTCCCTTTCATTTCATTTGTTACAAATCAGTAAATGCATTTTGTCCTCACGGGCTCCCATAGAAGGAAATATTGCATCTAATATGGCGTCGCCCAGATACTTAGACCCACTCCCATGTATTTTAGACCTGATTTTTATGGTTATTTGTTACAAAGCTGCCAAACGTTTTCAACAACTGGGCATCATTTAAGTCATTTTCAACAACATTTATATGGATATTTCCAGAGGCCAATGGTAAACGCACATTTTCTCTTTAAATATAACTTAAACATTTAATAAAATCTGTACCCAAACGTGTTAACCCCTCACATACAAAATTCCCATTGAGTCTTTAAACAAAGTCATCACAAATGTGCTTTTTATCGACTTTCTTCTGAAGGCGGTGCTTTTCTAATGCTGTTTTTAATAGTCTGGTAGTGCAGTTCCTCTTTGTTCTTTCTACCTCTGTGTATCAGACGTGGCAGCGTGGAGACAAGCAACCTGAGGGAAATAATCACTGTTCACCTCCGTTTCACCCAAACACAGAGACGATCGATGATCGTTTGTGTCAGATGTCATTTCATCATCCTGCTGCAGATTCAGCGATGGATCCTCTTCTTTATTTTTCCACTCTTTGAAGAAAAGTGAATTCAGTAAAATTGTTTCAGCATTTTTAGGCCACATGAGGCCATTGACAGAACCAACAGTCATCCCCTGAGATGAACCAGAGTAATCCATGTTCACGTTTGGCACCAGACCTTCCAGTAATTCATCAAATATACCCAAATGACCGTCTTCACCTGCTTTTGATGAGACATCTCTCATCTCCTCCTCGGCGTCCTTCTTTTCTTTCTCTATTGGAAACAGAGTACAAATCTGGGGTTTGTAGCTGGCGTGTTCAACCATCGTCATCCTAGTATCTGACTCGGACAAAGAGGCCTCAGTCACAGCTTGTCCTGATTCAGACTGGGACTCTTCCACTTGGATGGTGGAGTACACTTCATCCCTCTCTTCTTGGGAGATGACGAGGATCGGAGAGAGTGGAGGGTCACTGTAGGTGGACGAGAGCAACGGCTCACCTCTGTTGTCCTGGAGAAACAAACATGTTTTTAGTCTGTTTTTTGGAAGTTATCCAATCAAAGAAACACTTCTACGTGATCAATGTTCTTCTGTTACCTCCAGCAGTCTGATGGCAGTACTGTGTCCTGGTTTAGGTGGCTTTTCAACCAGCCATTTAGGACCCCAGGAGACACATTTCTGTTTGATCCTACAAGAAAAAGACAATCGGTTATTAGAAACCCCCTTTTTATCCCTATTCCAAATAAAAAGACCAATAAACTGTGCCAGCAAACTCAATTAATTCATGAAAACCATTTTACTGATGATAAAACAAAATTAGTATTTCTATGCCAATCAGCGATGGGTTTAGGTTTCGATTCATGCAAAGCAAGATATTGGGGTTTGCTTGTGTTGTGGTTTGGTATTTTACAAAAGATCAGCCACAGTGGCATCCATCATTATTACTCATAAAACAAAACTGGAACACAGTGAGCTACAGAAAACAGAGACAAAACACTGACTTCCATGGTAATGTGTGATCGTGGTGACTGTTAGGGTGACTGGTGCTTTCTGTGGAAAATTAGCAGTTGAGTTTTAAATATTACCATTTTCTCACACAACTCCAGCACATCAGAAGGACAACGACCATGAAGATGGTGAAGGTGAACACAATCCCGATAACGAGGGCGACTAAAGGAGACAGAAAGGGACGAGGATTTAGCATGTTCTTGATAAAGATTTTTCAAGATAAAAACAATACAAGGAGCAAGGTTACATAAGTTTAGAATTATTTTGAGATTTAGTCTTGAAGTGGAGATCAAGAGTAGGAGCTAGACCTGCAGGAGCAGCAGGCTGAGAGGAGATCAGCTCCCCCCGAGGTCCTTCTCCCGCTGAGTTGGATGCTGTGAGCTGGAGAGTCAAAGCTCCTTCTGGACAGTCCAACCAGGCCTCTCCTGGACCAGATACAGAAACCGTCACTGAAGGAAACAAATAATAAAGATTTTAGAAGCTCGTGTGTTTTTTTTTCTTTTGAACAGTACACTTTAAAATCAATTAATGATTAAATCTTTATTGACAGACTTCATATCCATAGGTAAAACAACACAAGACAGAGCAGAACATAGCGACAACACAACAGGAAACACAAAAGGATTATGAAAACAACCACTCACTGGCAGATCTGTATGTGCTAAAATTCTGCTGTTTCTTTAGAGTCATACAGTCATTCGCTAAAAGTGAACTTCCATAAAAGTGCTTTACTAATGAAAATACTCACAGACTCTTCAACCAGGCAAGAAAAACTGCTATTCTGCAAAAACTCATAAAGCTGCCTTTGCATGTATTGTTTTCGGTTTTACTACAGCAAACATCAAAATGAAACCAATAAAGCCACAGCAGTGCACTACAGATAAGAACATTCTCAAAACTGAGGGGTGAGAAGACCACCGAACATGTGAAATGCAGCCTTCATTGTTCGATAAAGGCTGCATCACATTTAGAAAAAAAATAGAAATCTGAAACCAAATGGTTTATTAGTTACCAAATTCTCCTCATTCATTCCACTCATTCCACCAATCGTATTTATTATAAAAACCAGGAAATCTGTACGTGGCTTTTATCTCCTTTCAAATCCTGGTCCTTTAAGCCCTAACCTTCACATTGTAGATGTTTATTTGCTCCAGCACACCTGATTCAGTGGTTTAATTACTTCTTCAGCTTGTCATGTGCTGCAGAAGCCAGATACACACCCCACCCCAACCTCCACTGATTCTTGTCTGATGTTTTGGCGCTACCCTTAACCCTAAAGCAAAACTAGGCACCACCTGTCTCACACTAACTCTAACCACTAACGTTCAATACATCTGTACAATAAAGACAAATGATGCTTTTAATCATCAATACGGATGCAAAATACTTCAAACTTATCTGAACAAAAGGGGAAAATCACGTGACAATCAGATTCAGAAATATATTTGAAGCTTGTATAAGATGGGCAGAAGTAATGTGTGGACATAGTTAATGTCTTGATGAGAGAAACTTTTAGGAAGCATCTTCTATCCGCTTTTATCAATCCTAGAACTCACTGTGCTGCAGCTAAAGATCCATCCATTGGCTTTTTTCACTGCACAAATGCTGACAAGTGATCGGCATACTCAAGAGGGCTAAATTCCATTTAGAGGAAGTTCTTCTGAGTGACGGTGGCACAGGAGTTAAGTGCTCGCCCCGTAATCGGAAGGTTGCAGGTTTGAGTCCCGCTCAGTCTGTCGCTGTTGTTGTGTCCTTGGGCAAGACACTTGACCCACGTTGCCTGCTGGTGGTGGTCGGAGGGACCGGTGGTGCCAGTGCTCGGCAGCCTCGCCTCTGTCAGTGCGCCCCAGCGCAGCTGTGGCTACATCGTAGCTCATCCCCACCAGTGTGTGAATGGGTGAATGATTGTGTTGTAAAGCGCCTTGGGGGGTTCCAGGACTCTAGAAGGCGCTATATCAAATACAGGCCATTTACTATTTTACAGAACTAGCAAACACCGCTGCCAAAGAGGAATGCATTAACCTGCGCCTTCTATTCTCTTCTCTTTCTGATTCTGACTTTAGCACGCAAAGGCAGCCACAAAACTGCAGACAGAAAGATCTCACACTGACTCTGAGCCTCTGTGTGAAACAATCTGAAACATGTACACAAAACGCAGGTTTGATCTCCTGTATGTGACTTTTTAAAGTGGCAGTAGAATGCTGTTTATTTACAATAGGAAACAGTGCTTTGAGCCTCTATATAGCTAATGGAACTTTGTTGGGCTCACAATTGATCCAGCAGCAGGGGTGGACTGGCCATCTGGGGAACCGGCCATTTCCCGATCCGGTTCCTCCCTCAAAAGGTGGTGGGTTGGAACCTGCAGGAGGTGTGGCTTGCTTATTACATATTATCTGAAGTGTTTCTAGAACCATCTTCCATGCCTTTTCAAGATTACTAATTTACATTGAAAGCAGGCCAGACATGGCTCTGAATTTTTGGTATGATTCGTTTGATTACCCAAGCTGTCTTTATTGAACAACAGCAACGTGACTTTACATTCTACTGCCCTTTAAAGCAGGATTGATGGTTTATCCTTTGGGGTCCATGTGGCAGCGGTGAGGAGTGAGCACCACCTCACCCCTGCCACATGGACCCCAAGGGATGAACCATCAATCCTGCTCAATGGTCAACTTTCCTCACGGGGTCACCCATTAGGACAGTGGGAGGGTTAAGGCTTCAGCTTAACTGATTTAGGTAATTTTACTATGGGTGTGTCACGTTGAGAGCAGGAGGTTTGGACCCAAGGTGCAGAAAATCCAGAACACACAAGCAGGAGCGGTTGAAAAAGTAAAATCCTTTATTTAGGAAGAGAACCAAAAATCCAAGGGGAAAAAGCCAAAACCTAAAAACTAAACTCAGACCAAAAAACCAAAAGCTCACCTTCTGAGCAGAGACCTAAAGACTAGAGACTAGAGACAAAACAACGCTGACCTAATGAACCAGCAAACACAGAGTGACAAGACAAGGCTTAAGGTTGGTTTATGCTTGACGCGTCCGCACGGCTCCGCGCGGAAAAGTTGCGTCATTTTGCGTCATTTTAACAACCACGCCCCTCCACCGCGCCTCGGCACGGCCCAGAATTTCCGCAACGCGCACCTCGGAAAATTTCTAACCACGCGGACGGACGGACGCGGAAAAACATGGCGGACTGGCAAGAACTAGTACGGCAGAGGTTCGTAAATACAGACATTTGTATGATTCAGTTCTCAGAGATCACCGTGATCAACATGTTGTTAATTCTTGGAGAGAAATAGCTCGCACTGTCGGAAAAGACGAGAACGCTGTTAAAAATGCTGAAATGCCATGTTGTAAACAGTAGTTTCTACTTCTACTATGGTGTAGTGTTGGATGTTTGCTGTCGAGCTCCATGCTGCCCCCTACAGTTTGGGAGAATATTGGCTCACCGCAGAGACGAGCCGCACGAACCATAAACGCTGCGAGTTGTGAAGCGCGTTCCATCCGCGAGCCGCATCACCAAGCGGAAAGTGAATGCGTCAAGCATAAACCAAGCTTTATAATCACAGAGGGAGGTAGTCAGGGAAACAGGTGACAGGTATGAGGAGTGTGAGCTGAGGAGAAACTGGTGGAATCAATTAACTAAATGGGAAGGGAAAGAGCTTGGCAGGAGGGCAGATAAACATTAACTTATAAAACACGGATCTAACTAAACCTAAAAGACAGAGGGCAAAAATAAACCACTAATAACCAGATGGGTGAGGAGGACTAATCTAAAGACGACTAGGAAAACCAGGAAGTGACTAGGAGGACACAAGAGGAGAGCCTGAAGTGGGAACAGGAAGGGGCTGGGGAACAAAGGGACACACAGGGTGCACTTGTGAGTTCGTTTACACACATCAAACATTGTAATTGAGCAGTGACATTCACATCACAGCCTAACAACTCTAAAATGGATTGATGTGCAGTTTGTGTTCAGTTCTGACTAAAGCATGAATTCATCTTCCCAAAACAAAAGAGCAGTGACAGATGTAGTGGAGCCGAGGGTAGTGAGCTTGTTCAAACCTAACCCTCAGCCAGAGTAAAACAAAGACAACAATAATAGCTCTGGGTGCACACGTGACACGTAGAAAGAAGACAAAGCTCATACTCGCACTGAAGGCAGGCTGGTTAGTAACAGCCCTCGCCGACGCATGTGTGCTCCAAGCCACATGACTTCCTGTTTGTGGTAAGAGTCGGTTCTAGAAAACGCTATAGATACGAAGAAAGTGATGGCAAGTTGTGTTTAAAACTCAAGTTTGTTCTCAGCGGTGCACATTACCAATTCAAAAACTTAAAAAAATCTAATAAGCTGAACTGCAGGAGTTTGTAAATTTTAAGATGCAGAAAGTAAACTGTAGTATGAGTTTTTCCAGTGGATGACTAATAATAAATCAGAATAAGTCAAAAATTGTTTGAGTTTGGCATTTGAATATTACCACGTTACGGGAATTCAGAGCCGAAATACCCTGCTGATGCACTGAAATGTAGAGGGAGGGGAATCTCAGTGGAATGCCGCTGCTGCACACTTTCCATTTTGTGATTGTGGCTTTTGCTGAGACACAGCGTATGAATGCTGCTGCATGTTGAAGTTTATTGCACGTGCACACAGGTAATATAGCCTTTGCTTGTGTGGCCAACGTTGAGCTCCAGATATAAAAGGAGTGCTGGGAGGGGGCACGATGGATGGTGAGCACAAACAGGAAACTCACCACAACGCTGCATTTCCTCGAAGCTTTCACACCAGATCAACATCATTTGATAATAACTGGATCCAAGTTTTTAGCTAATTTTAAGGGATGGATTATGGTTTCGGATACAGCTATCGGTATAGGTTTGTTTCATAGAGATGGTTTGGCCAAACCCTTTCCTCTATAATTCTTTACAGATAATGTTCAGATTACTAGATCAACCTAACCAAGCGCTAAAATTCAGTTTCCAAAGTGAAATGAAACAAACATGTTTTTTTTATTAAGCCTGTACACAAACTCACATCAGTTGAGACTTTGATATGGCCTTGGATAAACGTCTGGATTGTTGATCATAATATAATGAAAATATTTACAGACAATTCCTAACTCTCAAACTGACCTCTGCGGGGATTCAAATCCATAAGAATGATAATTAACCATTCCAACCCAAAGAAATATTAATAAAAATAAGTGTTCTATTGGTAAGACCAAGTGGAAGAACTAGAAGTACCTGTTGAAGAAATATTGAAAAATCATGTTTTCGAAACAAATTAAGTATAAATAAACCTTTGATCTGTAAAGTCTGTAGGAAAAAGGTCGATAGTAAAAACAAATTTTTTTAAAAAAAAGTTGGTTCAAGACAAATAATGGCAGGCTCAAAAGGCAAAAAATAAAAATAAAAAATCTTACAAGAATATTTAATTTGCCAGCAGATACAAACAGGATCACAATCTCACCACTGCTTTCTGTGCTGCTGAAGTCCAGCGTCTGCAGGTAGATGGTGTAATTTGTGATGAAACCCCTCTGCTGGTCCACAGGTAGTTCATCCCACTGGATCAGGATCCGTCTGGATCCATGGGCCCGCACAACCGGGGTGGGACCAGAAATTGGCCCTGAAACAGAGAATAAATGGCTTACACTTCACTGATTTTTAAAACCACACACACACACACACACACACACACACACACACACACACACACACACGCACGCACGCACGCACGCACGCACACTCACACACACACACACACACACACACACACACACACACACACACACACACACACACCTGTTTGCCTTTGGGAAACAAGTAGCATTGCATCATCTTACTTTCTTCTTTGGAGTAAAACAAGCTGGATGTGGGAGAGCTGACTCCTCTGGTAGTCACAGCATACAGAGAGATTTTATACCTCACACCTGCAGTCAATCCTGAAACAATATCAGAGAAATGAAGGTTCCATTTTTGTTAACAGGCGGTTCTGCTCGATGGTGGTGTAGTGGCAGCATTTCTCTCTGAACAAACTGTGATGTGAGATATAGTAATTGTCCACAAGAGGGCAGTGATTAACCTCTGTTGAAACCCGGCTGTGTTCCTTGATTCATAAATCTCTGGCGGTTTTTAAATCTCGTTTAAAGACCCACTTTTACACTTTGGCTTTTAGACAGTGACTCGTTTTAGTGTTTTATTGTATCATTGTTTTAATGTGTTTTTAGTATTCATCATGTTTTATCTGCTTTTGATTGAAATTTTTATCCTTTGTTTTAGCTCCTTGTAATGGTTGTGTTTTGTTTTAGCCTGTGCAGCACTTTGGGCAGCTCCCATGCTGCATTTTAAACGTGCTATATAAACAAACTATGCTATGCTATGCTAAATTACTGTTTTCCTAAATGATACTGGTGATTCTGAATCTGATTTAGTTGTAAGTTATAGTTAGATGCATGTTGAAGTTTAACACAAACTAAGTCCTGGGGAGCATCAGCACTGTTTAACAGTGTCCCACCAAGCAAGAACTGAGAGGAGATAGGATGCTAGAAGCTACAGTGGCACAAGCTTTCATGCAAATATTACTTCATGCTACAGAAAAAGAGACCTCATTCTGGGACTAAGAGAGGAGGGGGAACGCTCCTGGACGCATCTCTATCTCTTCAAAGGATCAACACAAAGACAAATTGGACAAACAATGATGGCTTTCACTGAAAAGGAGCTCAGTTGAAGAGCCCTATAATTTGTTCAAGTTTACAGATTAAACTAAAATTTAAAGTCAGTAACAACCGGTTGTACCTGGTATTGATGCATTTCTGAGGTCTCCAGCCAGCCTTTTCCACTGCAGCCCCCCAGCAGGCACGCTCATCCATTCGATTACATAATGCAACAGTTCTCCTCCAAATGTCCTGGACCAGTAGACCAGAACTGAACTGCCATTGGCTGTGGGTGTTAAATCTAGCAGGCTAGGCCCTAAAACACCTGAAACAACAAAGACACGTAAACCTTCTGGAATTTCTAAATGTGGAATATTTTTGGGTTATTGAGTGTACTATGAGTTTACCTGCATGTCTTAGTTCCACATTTGCTGTTGGAGACGTCCCAAATGAGGTAACAGCAGAGACACTGAGAGTGTGGAGCTCTGTTGGGACCTGAACTTCACACTGACGGGAAGCAGCAGGACAGATCTCCTCACGACCGTCATCCAGACGGACCTGGATCTGCAGAAAGTCACTCCTGTAATCCTCAGGAGGAGGAGGCTGTAAAATAATTTTCTTTTCAGTTTAGGATGATTTATTCTAGTTTAGAGGATGCAATGATGCTAAAAGCAACAAATGCAGAAATACATAAACACTATTATATGAAAACAGGAGGTTTTATTTAGCAGTCAGGAGTTGTTTAGAAAAAGAAAACAGTGTGTTCAAAAATATCAAAGTGTCTCGAAAAATGTGGAAGGAGGATGAAACCCGTTATAAATGGCTATTTGAGATGTTAAATATTATCCTAAAGCAAGAGCTTAAACAGATCTCCTTTTAATATTGTGAATTATTAAATAAAGAGTTTCATATTGCAGTTCTGCAGAGGAGAAGTTCCTTTGTTCCCAGAGCTGTGCTTCTTCTTAATTCTCAGTGCAGATAGGGGGAGTGTGCATTACTTGAATGTGTGCGTGCATGTAGTTACGTGTGTGTGTGTGTGTGAGCCAAAGTTTTAATCATTGTTGGTCATTCACATGTGAGTTTATGACATGATTGTGTATATAGGTTTTTATGGGTTTTACAAATGTGTAATTTGGTTGTGTTTTTAGAATTTAGAGATTTTAGTGCCGGCTGCTTCACAATGCTGTCTCGAATTGCCCCTCGGGGACTAATAAAGTTGTCTTGAGTCTTGAGTCTTGATGTTATGGTAAAAACCTACCTTCCATAAAACCAGAACTTTCCTCAGCCCGCCTGGCTCCTGGTCTGCTAAAACCCTCCACACACGTAGCTGCCGAGTCGGACCTGAAGTTTAGACAAACCAAAAGTCTTCACGGACAGTCCATCATAATAAAACCAGATTTGTTCCATCTGAGGTAAGGATCGTGGATTTGCCTTTGCCTGGACTCATCTCCCTCACAGGGGAGCTCCATTTGCTGCAGAACGATCTGGAGGTCCTGGTGGTCTTGAAGCTGGACTTTAGGAATGTCGGTGAATAACATGTTCTGATCTGGAGCTCATACTCAGTCAGAGGTCTCAGGTTGTCCACTTGCAATAGACCGTCACCAAGCAGTGGTCCCTCTCTCAGTTCCTGAAAGCATCATGAGATTAGATCTCGACCTGGTGAAGATTAGGATTAACATGCTCTGAGATCTTTTTACCCAGGAGCCATTCTTGACACGCAGCTTGACTTCAGGTCTGAGATCTTCTGAAGATTCAGAGGTGTTCCAGTGCAGCACACCTGATCTAGAGTTATTTCCAAAGTCTAACTTAACGATGTGAGGGATCTCTGGCATCACTGGAAAACAAAATAACACAACAGCAGCAGTTGATATCTCAACATTAACACAGTGAGTGAGTGAGAGTCTGGGCTGCAGCTTAAAATGTTCTGAATCTTCTCCTCAAAAGTTTATTTATGTCACCAGAAACAGAGAAGAGTCGAATTAGTCAGAGCAGGACAACTCAAAGTGATGACTCATTTCTTCAGCTGAAGAAATAAAGTATGACTTTTTAAAGTATGTTGGTGCACATGCACTCTCACACAATCAATGTCTTACCTATGTCCTTCATGCAGAAGATGAAGGGATCCGACTGCGATGCTTCAAAGTGATTGGATGCCATGATGATCAGCCTGTATTTAGTGTTTTCATTGGTTATTTTCTGATGGATGGTGATTTGATTGCTGTTCTGGATGTGATCAGACGTTATTCGGGTCCCATTCTCACTAATAAGGAGTGAGAAGGCATGAAGCATAATTTAACCAAGGGCAAGACAAAAAAAAAAAAAAACATGGAAGCAGAATCGTAACGCTTTACCTGCTGAGTGAGACGTTATAGACTGTGTCCAGATATGTTTCCTGTCCTCGGGCCCACGAGCAGGTGATCTGATCTGAGCTTCGGGTGGTTTCACAGCCTATTTTTGTTGGTTTATCAGGAGGAACTTTAGTAACAGAAAACAAGAGATTATTTTAATATACATTTGGAGAGAAAGAGAGAGTGTTTATTGCTCATTGTTGCACAGTATAGATGTGGGATCAGATACGACCAGATAAAATCTGCTGTGTTTCCTTCTACTCTACTCTCTGTGCTAAAGACCAATGAAATTAAAATGTTTGTTTCTTTAAACAAGTCTTCTGGGAACAAATGAAGATGTAAATATAATGAAAATTGAAAATGGTGATAAAAAAGATTAAACTAAATGCAAAATTTAACGTGCCATCATCAATGCAGAAAAATCTCCAAGTAGGTTCCAAAATCATACAGTTTAATGAAGTGAGTAGTCTCTTTTGGTTCTGATCTTGTCTGAGGACGCTGCTTTTACTGACGGCCTGAGTAAAAAAACACTTTGTGCTGATTGGTTGAGGAAGTTTTCAACTGTCGGAGACATCTTCTGCCTTCATTCAGATTACCTCTTGTTTGCTTTGTTGTCACACTTAAATGTTTTAGAATAGGGAACCAATTTCAGTAGAAGACAAATATCAACAAATACAAAATGCATTAAAAGTAGAAAGCGATCTAAGCCACCTTGATCCTATGTGGAAAAGTACACTCAACAAAAATATAAACGCAACACCTTTGTTTCTGCTCCGATTTTTCATGAAATGGACTTAAAGATCTAAAATTCATTCCAGATACACAATTACCGTTTCTCTCAAACATTGTTCACAAATCAGTCTAAATATGTGATAGTGAGCTCTTCTGCTTTGCTGAGATAATCCATCCCACCTCACAGATGTGCCACATCAAGATGCTGATCCGACATCATGAGTAGTGCACATGTGTACCTTATACTGCCCACAATAAAAGGCCAACCTGGAATGTGCAGTTTTTTGCTTTATTGGGGGAATGGGGACTCAGAACCGTTCAGTATCTGGTGTGACCACCATTTGCCTCTTGCAGTGCAACACATCTTCTTCGCATAGAGTTTATCAGATTGTTAATTGTGGCTTGTGGAATGTTGGTCCACTCCTCTTCAATGGCTGTGTGAAGTTGTTGGATATTAGTGGGAACTGGTACACGCTGTCGTATACGCCGGTCAAGCACATCCCAAACGTGCTCAACGGGTGACATGTCCGGTGAGTATGCTGGCCATGCAAGAACTGGGACATTTTAAGCTTCCAAGAATTGTGTACAGATCCTTGCAACATGGGGCCGTGCATTATCTTGCTGAAACATGAGGTGATGTTCATGGATGTACGGCACAACAATGGGCCTCAGGATCTCATCACGGTACCTCTGTGCATTCAAAATGCCATCAATAACATGTACCTGTCCTGAACAATGTAAACCGAGATTCATCCGTGAAGAGAACACCTCTCCAACAGGCTAGACACCATCGAATGTGAGCATTTGTCCACTCAAGTCTGTTACGGCGACGAGCTGGAGTCAGGTCAAGACCCCGATGAGGACGACGGGCATGCAGTTGAGCTTCCCTGAGACGGTTTCTGACAGTTTCTGCAGAAATTGTTTGGTTATGCAAGCCAGTTGTTTCAGCAGCTTTCTGAGTGGCTGGTCTCAGACGATCTTGGAGGTGAACCTGCTGGATGTGGAGGTTCTGGGCTGGTGTGGTGGCACGTCGTCTGCGGTTGTGAGGCCAGTTGGATGTACTGCCATATTCTCTGAAACGCCTTTGGAGACGGCTTATGGTGGAGAAATGAACATTCAATGCACGAGCAACAGATCTGGTTGACATTCCGGCTGTCAGCATGCCAATTGCACGCTCCCTCAATGCTTGTGACATCTGTGGCATTTTGCTGTGAGACAAAACTGCACATTCCAGGGTGGCCTTTTATTGTGGGCAGTATAAGGTACACCTGTGCACTACTCATGATGTCGGATCAGCATCTTGATGTGGCACACCTGTGAGGTGGGATGGATTATCTCAGCAAAACAGAAGTGCTCACTATCACACATTTAGACTGATTTGTGTAAGGGTTTAATTTACATCTATTTAATGAACCATAAGACATGAGATTCCATTGCGAATATAAAATCAATCTTATGGATCTTTGGGTACTTTTAACCAGAAGACTGGAAGTTTTTATTGCAGGGATTATGTAACAGTTTGTATTAACTGAGAGAGAAGAGAAGAGAGAGTCACCTTTAAAACGTTTAAAAAGATTTATTTCTAAATTTTTTTAAACATGACTGACTCTAAACTCTAAGTGATGAATGGATCTTGGTGTGAATGAGGCGTGAGATGAATGGTGTATGTGTGAGTGATGTTGTCATCAGAACTCTTGTATCCGGAGAAGCAAGTCTGAGTGATGTTGTGATGTTTTGCTCTTAAGCTATGATCGGAGTTTCATAAACACATAAGACACCATTTTGTCGCTCCACACATACCCTTCAGGATGAGACCTCCGTACAGATCCAGAATGCCAGGTCCTTGGACCCCCCTTCGGTACCGGAGCCGATGAAACAGCATCAGCATTACGACAGACTAGTCTTTGGTGTCTCCAGGTAAAAAGCGACAGTTGTTTGACAGCGTCAGATGGACCTGGAGGGTCAGTGAGTTCAGCTTTTATTCTGAAAGGAACCGTTGCTTGGTTGGTAAAATGCAGCAGATTTTATCCAGCTTGTTGGTTCTTTGCTTAAAAAGGAAGTCCGGGTGGCCGGTCTGATACTTCTCTTAGAATGCGGTGAACTGACTGAAGATGGCGTGGGACTGGTTTTATTAATATGGATGTTTTGATTTACGGTCGAATCAAAGTTGGACAGATTTATAAACACCACTGAGACTTTGCCACGCTTCAGAAAGGAAGGTTCCGATTGGATGAGAAAGATAACATGTGTCATGTGACTTTAAGCATTATGTGTAATCAGGATGTCTAGTGCAGCTAGATTAAAGTCATATTACTTATTAAAACTTACTAATCATAACACTGTCATTTCACAGATTGGTCCACATTATTATTGACTAATACCTTGTTTGATTAGCTTTATTAAAAATAGAGTTATTTGATTTATTAAAAAGAAAGAGTCCTTTGTCTTCATTCTTCTCTTGGGCTGGGAAGGAAAACAGTTTAGAAGTAAATGCATGAGACCTTGAACAATATCTCATGCAGATTAGTTCCTGCTGAGGAGAGGGGGAAATGACTTTTAGGTGGAAAACAGTAATTTCATTCCGTTACATTTGTGAACAATGTTTGAGAGAAATGGTAATATTGTGTATCTGGAATGAATTTTGGATCTTTAAGTCCATCTCATGAAAAATCGGAGCAGGAACAAAGGTGTTGCGTTTATATTTTTGTTGAGTGTAATTCCCTGTAGTGGATGCAGCAGCAGGGGAGAGAAGAAGCTAATGTTTAAAGGAACTGTGGCGAGCCTGATATTTGATCAGATATTTTATCATTACGTATGCACATCAGAATAACAAGGTCGTCGGGTCCCTAGGTCAAGACACAAACTGTGGGAAGATTGCTCTTTTGCAGTGGCTCCAGTCACTTTTATATTAGACTCAAAATTAGACCCTGCACTTTTTAACTTGAGTTATTTTATGGTTTTTTTTATTCTGTTTTTACATTCATTTTACTGCTATTTTGTGTCAGTGACTTTACAGAAATCCCAAAAAATAACTTGTGGTAAAATTATTTTCTTTTTACATTGTTTACAGTGTTCTCTTACGTTTCACTCATTAAGGATCTGTAAAAAATAGGGTCTAAAGTACATAGGGCACTGGTCTAGCATCAATGGGGGATGCCACTGTAGCGTTATTAAGATCCTATTGTCTGCCCTTAACAGCTGCCCCTTCACACAGTAACAACGTGTAGGAATCGCCAAGGTCGGATGCTGGTTTCAGTATGTTTACATTCCAGGAGAAGAGACAGAAGAAGAGAAGAAGAACGCTTTCCATTAATTAATCAAAGTACTTTATTCGTGATAAAGCTAATCAGAGCATATGTTGATCATTAATAATCAGGTGAATGATCTGTGAAATAAAGATGTCATGAGTTATGTGTTTAATGAATAAACAGGACTGCACCAGACAGACTGATCTACATTACCATGGAAACGCATGACACATTGTTCTCAACCAATCAGAACTTTCGTCTGTGGTAGGGCAGAATCTGGGTTGTTTAATGAAGTTGTCCAATCCGGTTTACTAAGATTTATAAACAACTGGGGGATATAAAACAAGGCAACACCATTTTATTCTCAGTTCTATTTTAACCTCAGCTCTGTTCGATCTGAGCTCCAAAGGAGTTACATCATACTCTCAATGTAGTTTTCAACCAGCTCTCGATCCATCACCGCCAAAAGAGAAGTACAGGCTGGCCAGATGTACTTTCTACTTTAAGCTGAGAACTGTCAAGCTGGAGATTTCCGTCGTTTGAACAACAAGACTACGTTCCTTCAAAATAAGAGTGAACTCGCTGACGCCTGCCGACTGCTACCGGAGTCGACCCACAGACGGGCTTTGTAGTGCTGCGACCGCTGCTCCACCAGCTCCAGTACATCCGAGGGTCCGAGGACCTGGCATTTCCTGATCTACACGGGAGGCTCCACAGGGTACGTGGTTACGGCAAAATGGCGGCTCATGTCATCAGCTTCTGAAGCCTCGTGGTAGCCTAGTCATAACAACCAGATTCACTACGCCAGCCTAGAGATTCTGAACAAAACACACACCCACACACCAACACTATAACATTCAAATCCATATGCATTCATCATTGAGATAGTCCTGGTAGATTGTAAGAATTTATAATTATAGAAATTAAAGATTCTTAAACGATCCCAACTCTCTCTTTTCTTGTCTCTCAGTCAATACAAAGTGTTTAAGTAAACTCCCTGATGATAAAAACGACCACTTCTGATTATAATATTTAGATCTAATCGCAGTGTATAAATATACAAACTACAGATCACTACACCACATTAGACACCATATTTCCTTCTGGCATGCTTGTTCTACGCCTGTCGATGGCATCCCACTAGATGACTGGCTGTACAGAAGTTACGTTACTACATTCTAAAACATTTAGGCAAGAAACACAAATTTAATAACAAAAAAGCTAAACTCTTTCCAAAACCCATGTAAAACAACAGAATCGAAAAAGAGATGCAATGTATTTCGGCCGAGCGGTATTGCTGTTGTATGATGATGTCATCAGCAGGTGCAGGACCCCGAGCAGATCCAGAAACTAGAATTGACTTTGCATTCCCTTGATGGAAATAACTGAAGGTCCATCAAAGCCTCAGTAATCACGCTTACGTTACACGCTTTCTGCTCCACAGGTAACAACATTTATCGTGATTTTTATTTAACTAGCAACAGTCACTGGATATGGTGTAAAATTAATATATAATACATATCCCTGAAATGCACCTACTGCCCCCTAGTGGAAGGAAATTACACACTGCCACTTGAGATAAAGTAAATTAATTTCTGACTGATCCTCTCCTGAGAAGCTCAGCTCCTCAATCAAAACATGTTTCTGATCCTTCAAACCAGAACAACTGAGACCTACTGCTGATAAGACTGACAGCTCATGGAAGATCCATCAAAACCTTCCCTTTAAAATCTATCTAAAAAAAACATGTTTTTATTAATTGATTTCATTTGCTTGTATTAACCCTTTGATGCATAATAGTCACTACAGTGGACAGGTACTCAAAATAGTTATTGATTTGTTTTTGCTATTAAGCACAGCTGTTGAAGACTTTGTTGCATGTGAGCCCCTCCATTTGGACTTCAGTAAGCCAAGCCAACATATTTCATGCTCAGAATGCACACTGTCCACTGAGGTTGACATGTAACAAATTATTTGTAAATTATAAAATTTTACAAAAAATATTTGTTGAAATTTTTTTCATTCACACCTAAAGACGAATGAAAAAAATGTTAAAAAAATCATGGTTGAAGATTTCATAATTCATGCGTCAAAGGGTTAAGTTTCAGTTTCATATGAACAAGGTTCAAAGAGAAGGTAATTAAAAGAAGATGCTGGCTTTGCTACATGCAATAAAACAAGCAGTAACCATGGTGACAGGCTCTCAGTAAAGCATACGTACGGCCGGCTAGCAGGAACTCTCCATGCACAACCATCGATGCTGGCAGCTGATGGTGTTTCTTCATGCAGACCACTAAGGACTGAGACATCTGAGGCAGAAAGAACTTTTCTGTGGTGCAGTTGATTCTTTTGGACCCGTTTACTTTGCTGCCGTTCACATACAGGGATATCGTGTACCTGAAACTGCAAATGAATCAGAATTTTAAAAGTACAGCTTACCTGAGTTTAAATTTCATGTAATACAACAGAGCATGGCAGGAAATTGTAATAAATCTCTGTCATTCATACTTTTTATCGCATTCATTGAGGTGGCAGTACACGATGAGGTTTGAGCCCAGGAGGAAGGGAGAAGGTGGTTCTACTGTCAAGTTACCCAGGGAGAGTACATCAGCAGAGAACTGGGAGCTGCCTGTCGGGAGAAGAGCGCACAATCTTAGCTAAATGATTCAAAATATAGAACAAAACAAATAAGTTCTGTATTTAAAGCCAGAGGTGGGAAACTAGTTTATAACTTTGGCCCTCTGGGAATTGCTTTATGAGTACGGTACACTCTGTAGGTATTCTACCACTTCTAGTTGAATGAAGATCAAACTTGTTTTCACCAAATGCAGCAGACTCAGACACACGTCAACAGTCTGATACACATCTGCTGAGCCTGACTGGTCTCACACCTTTACATCATTACCTGTTGGTAGGATTGAGTTGTGAACAGGAGCCTTTTAGAAATGCGTTTCTGCTGCCTTCATCTCTTATTTTGCTACATACATGCCACTTAAAAACATTTAAGAATTAACCTCAACACTGTAAGTTCTTCAGTCTGTTGGCCCTGCACCTTGACAACAATCTGCATCCAGCTGCATCTATATGATCAGTCAGGCCTTCGTCACTGACCAAGCCTTGTGCATATCGGTAAGGTCATTTAAGGTCTGTGCCAGCAATTGTTCTACAAACGTTTACAATCCCCAACAACCTGTTCCTGTTTTTCAAGTTAAAAGTCCAAACTAGCAGACAAAGTTTAAAGTTAAAACTTTAACTAACCCTAATCCTATAACATTCTCATAAAGCTGCATTTACATTTAAACCACAAATCTATCTAAAAACTGCATTTGCTGATAAGTTTTGTGAGTCGGTATGGGGGTCAAAGGTGAGCCAGTTGTTTGAAAAAGTCCCCAAGCATTTTTTTTGACAGTTTCCATCTCTTCCCCTGAGATAACCACAGGCTTGTTGACTGTGCAAATTTTCTTTTTAAATCAGTAACCATCTCTTTAATCATAGAGACGTTGATCTTTAAAAGGTTAGACTGACACCAGTCAGTGAAGTCCCCCACCACTGGTCCATGATCAAGGTCATCACTGTTCAGGAGGTTTAGGATGACAGAGTCATCAGCAAACTTTAAAATATGGCTGTGGCAGTATAAAATGAATAAAAGTGGCAAAAGAGCACGGCTCAGAAGAGATAATAAGGAAAAGAGAAGCATAAGGCCAGAGTCAGAGCTATAAGAATGCAGTTTCTCAGCTAAGATATGAGGTTGAATGCAATTAAAAGCAGATCATAAGTCACTAAAAAGCAGTCCTGCAAGCATGGACGTAATTTTTTTTGGGAGGGGGCATGTCCCCCCCCACTTTTTCCAAAGTCAAGTTTTGACCCCTGCACTTTTTACCATCCAAAACTAATATTACACTGTATTAAATTGACACTGGTTGAGCTCTAGGACCAAGCGGAAAACAATTGTTTGTGTTGAAGCCTGTTTCCCATTAGAGCATACTGTAAAGAAACCCCCCCACCCGTGCCCCCCCCCCCCCCCCCCCCCACACTTCTAAAGTGAAAATTACATCCATGCCTGCAAGACATTTGGTTCCCTCTAGATGTGTTAAAATCTTATATAAAAGAGTCGCATCCTCCACCCTCATGACCCACCGTCAGGCAAACTGAAGTGGGTCTGGGTGATCCTCAACACTGGATAAAGAGACTCCCTTCACAATGGGCTTCAAATGACTTCATAACTGCTGAGGTCAAGATATGTGTCTGAAGTCGTTCAGTGACTAGGACGTTTTTCCCTTCAGGGACTGGAAAAATGGCTGAGTCTTTTCAGAACCGAAGGGCAGTGAAACCAGAGAGACTTTATTGAAAAGCAAACAGAAAAGTGTCTGCTTTCTACAGCCGACTGACGAGACTGAGATCCTCATGTGTGTCTTGGACAAACTCGTTGAGCTGTCATTGGACATTTCTTTTATCCACACCTTCATCTCCTAACGCTTAGACTACTACAACTCACTTTTTATTAGAATTTTATTTTGAAAGGTGCTATACAAGAAAAACTTTCTTCTACTTTTCTCATGAATAAATACATTTTATCAAATACTTTTTACTCTTACCTCAGTAAGTAATGAATACTCTTTACTTTTACTTGAGTTAAACTACATAAAAGTAATGTCATTTTTATTTGAGCAGTCTTTTACAACTCTACCCACCTCTGGTTTAAACACTCTTAGTATCGTGAGGTAACCTAACTAAAAGGCGATTTTATGATCTTTTTCTGCTTTTCTGAATGCAAAACAAAGAGCTAACACTGTGGTGGAAACAGGAGCATAAGTCAGAGCTCTGAACGTCTTTAGCACCAAACGCTGTACAAACTCACTCTGAATGAAAAGAGTAAGAAACATGATCATGCATCGCCAAGTGGTCTGAAAGAGCGTCATCTCAGCACATCTTTCTCCCACTGGAGAAACCAAGTCAGCATCTAGAGAAAAGAAAAGCGTGCTTAAATCCTAGAGGGATTAGTTGAACATTTTGGTACACAAAGAGACAATTCCCACCTCATCCATGTGTGTCCAGGAACAAAGCAGAGCTCGAGGCAGCAGGACGGAGCGGTGCAGCGTTCACTTTATCGTCGCACCATTTCAAAGCAGGTTTTCCTGTTGCTAACCTGCATAGTGGCTCTGTTTTATTTTTCTCCTGGCAAAACTAAACAGAATTAATGAAATGTACATAATCAGCAACAGATCATGGAGTCAGGTTAAGGGTGACACCCAGAAAGCACCTTCAGACAGAATTAGCTTTAGTTATTTATCTACATTATTATTTTTTACCAGAACCCAAAACAAATGAGATGAAACTCACCAGAATAGAAAGATTTTCCTAATAAGATACAATCCAATAATGTTTTTGTCGAAGTTCCTTCTAACAAGCTGTTTTGTGACACACGAGTAACTGAAATGATCTTTTTTATACAAGTCATGCATCTTAAGGAGGCCAGTGACCTAGTTTGGTGGTAAGTTAGTGCAGCAGAAACTTTGAACCTCGGTGCTCGCGCGTCCTACTTAAATTGCCTGTTTTTCATCACCACAAAGATTCAGTTGACAGAAAACATCACCGGCTGTCATGAACACACCGCAGCAGCAGTGAATCATGGGAATAATTTAGCTTTTTGTCATCATTTTTTGGGCTCAGAAAGATGCAGACCATCGCTTCACTGCAACCCAGCTATTTTCCCCTGATGTGAACAGATTTAGATGTTTTTGACAGTAATTCTCAAATGTGCTGATGCAATGAACAGAAAACCCAAACTATGTCAGGAAAGCTAAACATCAGTTCAAAGACATCAAAGATAATCCACTTTGCTTTAAAGACAACAGTTTTTGAAGGTAAACATACTTACATCTAAAGTCCGACAAGTGCAATAGAACAATTCTTAAGTTTTCCTAATTTGATTTGTTGTTCAGTTTTATCTCCTCAGACAGACAGACGTCTGTTGTTTGAGAAAAACCGAGTCTCTCACCTTGTTTTTGTGAGTTTTTTTCACTGCTTATTTTCCATCTCTAACCTCAGCAGCTTTACAGGGAAAACCCAGAAGTTTAACAGAATTTATGCTCGTAAAGATGAAAGAGACCTCAAGACTGTGGGCTGCAAGATTTCTGAATTATTTGTCTTTTGTATAAAAACTTGAAGGTTATGAGGTGATTAACACGTAAAAGTTCTCAGTGGGAAGGGATTTGGTGCTCGATGCATGATGGACCCTTAGTAGGAGACTGAAATTAAGCTTTTATCTGAAATGTGTCACATTAATTCCTTCATGGAAGTAAATGGCTTATGTTTTTAACCGTACTGAGACTGGTACCACAGTGCCATACCTATAGAGTTTTTTATCTACAAAAGTCAGAGTGAAACAAGAGTGTGAATTTAACACCCGGCATCCTGAATAAGAAGCATCACCTAAACCTCAAAATAAACTCACAGCAGTTGAGGCTAGAAAACCTAGAAAACCCAACACAGGTGAACAAATCATCAAGAGAAACTCCAAAGGTGCAGAAAATCTGAAATGTTAGATGGTTCAACAACAAGTTTCAAGACAACCCAGACCATCTGCTCTCTTGGGGCTGAGCAGGAAAACATCTAAACACCAGCTTTTTCCCTTAAGTCACCATTACAGTTTTTCTCAATTGTTTACACAAATTTTCTGAAAGCATGCCTCATATTCTCAGAACTCTACACACAAATCCAAAAAAACCACACACAATGGGCAAAACCCCTCAATTAGCCTGCAAAATGAAACTTCACATTCAAAACAATGTTATTTCTCCTCACAATGTGATTATGTTGTCGATTGACACACACAAACCATCATATGAATGGACATTTATCAGACCCAGCCGAACACTTATGTGCTCAATGTTAAACACTATGATGAATGGAAAACACTTCTTCTCCATTCATCATAATGACTTAAGCTGTTTTGGTTACAGTTACTACAGACAGTATATACATACATTTATTGTAAAATATTTCAGAATACTGTTTTTACACTCTGAACACACACATACATGGTAAAATTATTTCATTTTTCCCGCAAAACATTGTACACAATGTTTATCCCAATCCCAACCAACACAAAGTTGATAAGCTGACCCTAACAATATTTTGAAATGTGTCATTGTTTTCCATTATTTTTCTTTGTATTTGCCGTAATGTTATGGCATTGTTTTCTAGGACCATTTTCATGATTTCAGGTTCCTGTTCAGGAGATAGAAGACATTCCCGACAACCTCGTTTTGGTAATCTTTCAGTTCTGCCAAACAAATGGTAAAATAATGTGAATACAAAGTAGGTATACATTTCCTAAATACTGGAAACATACTTTACAGTATTTTTACTGTCCAAAAAAACAATCCACAGGCAATACTACTGCTATACTCATTGAATACTGATTGTATTGATATGCAGTACTGCCATTTTCTAGTGAGAGAACATTTCTTACCTATTCGCATTTCGGAAAGCCTGGATGATGGATGCTACAGTGTACCTGCTCAAATTTGGCTGTACTCTTTGCCCAGCCTCCCTCATTGTACAGTAAGACCATGGTTGACCACATGATCAACCAAAGTGGCTCGGACCTCAGAGATTACGATCCTTGGTCTTCCTCATCCTCCTCATCCTCCCCGTCCTCCTCTTACTCTCACTCCTCTGGCTCTGCCTCTGTTTCCAATGTTGGCATCCATTGCTCCAAAACAGAAGAGCTCACCTGTTGCCCTTTTATGCTAAAGCTCTGATTGCTGATTGTAAAACAGTGTGACAGGTGTTTGCCCTTGTGATGAGTCAGTGTGTATATTTGAATAGCAGTGTGTTCCTTGTGAAAACAAGATATTTTCTGCCTGAAAATTGTGCCAACAGCAGATAATTGTGTGTAGTGTTTTGAAAAAAGTGTTTTAGATTTGCAATTTGAGTGCAAAGCAGGAATTGTGCTTGTAGTTTAGCAGAATTGGTTAAGGGGGTTGGTGAATTGGTTACATGTTGTGGTCACTGCGTCTCAAGTACCAGAAAATGTGTGTAAACAATTGAGAAAAACTGTAAATGGCTCATATTACAGAGTGTAAGGAAAATCTAACAAACATAACATAACAGGTGTGCTCTAAAGTGACAGATCAAACCAACAGGTTTGCATTTTAAAATAACATTTTGGCTTGAATTTATCTATAATTTGAACAGGATTATATGACTGTCAGACAAATAATCTTCTTTCCTTTGCCACAGTGTTCAGCAACTCTGGTAGAAAAAAGACCACTGAAGAAGAACTCTGCAGGTTTCATATTCATAAAAAGTAAAATCTCATTTTCATGATGACGCTGAAATAATGGTGACATGTCAATGCAGTGCGAAGCTTCTATTTCAACCAAAGCACAGATTGTGTTTCCTGGAACTTTATGGACAGAATGAGACCAAACTTGCTGTGAATTATTGATGTTTGACTTGCAGAGAGCTCTCAAAGGTAGGAAAAGTCAACTCTTAAAGAGAAACTTTGCAACTTCTTCATTTTTTTAAATCATTTTCTTGAGCAAGTATTTGCTAAAATGATCCTTTACAGGGTTAATGAAAGGCCACCCAGACCCCCTTGCAACTTTAGACTGGCAGGCCGCTCCATTGGGACTTACAAAAAATTAAGTTGACATACCTGGTGCTGAAGTCTGCTTCCAGCACATTTCCTGCATGTATTCGATCATGAACACAGCTGTTTTGTTTAATTGAGTGATGAATCACTCCTGTAGGCACTAATGAAGGCTGAGGAGACATCTCAGCTGTTAGATTAACGTGTTAAAAAGATAAACGCACAGCGAGGAGATAGGCTTTGCTTTCAGTCTACAAACGGACACAAGCGCTTGCTAAAAGCAAGCTAAAACTGCCTATCCCCTTTTAAAGTTTTTGCTTTTCTGTAAAAAAGGCCTTAGTGTCAGTGCTGTGGTCGGTGTCTTAAAATGGTTTACACGATCAAAAAGATGAAACTCTGAGGTGCCTTTTGTATATTGTTGGGGTGTGTGACGAAGGGGCATACACACACGGCTGCGATGTTGTACGCCTCTGTCAGTGCGCCCCAGGGCAGCTGTGGCTACATCGTAGCTCATCACCATCGGTGTGTGAATGTGTGTGTGAATGGATGAATGATACACTGTACTGTTAAGCGCTTTTGAGTCCTTACTCTTGTAGCGTCATGAATGTCCTGTTTTTGACCTAAAGGTCATGATCTGCTGCGTCTGCTCGAGCAGAGACATAAAGTCTCTGACAGGCTAATCTACATGAGATATTGGCCAAGGTCTTTCATGCCCTCTGCATCTGAACTGTGTCACCTCTTTTACAGCTCAAGACGAAGACAAAGAACTCTCTTGATAAATACATAATCAAGGAACGTTTGTTATTACCAATAATAATGTGAGCCCAATGTTCAATCAATCTTTGAAATGACAATGTTATTACTTGATATTATAATCCTGTGATCAGTAGTACTTTACAAGTAATTATAATCCTGGACATTTCCTCGAGACACTGATGACACGTAATGCTAAAGTCACATGACACATTTCCTTTTGTCTTATCCAATCAGAACCTCCGTTTCTGTCGTGAGGCATGGTTTTCTGTGGTGTTTGTTTAAACCCTCTTTTGCATGTCAAATTCTGATTCGCCAGTAAACAAAATATGACAAATATAAAAACTATTCCACTCCGCCTTTTCTTTAGTTCAAAGCGTTCTAGAGAAGTCTTGGACAGGCCATCTGGACTTCCTCTTCAGCCACAAAGAACCTCGACAAGCTGGAATAAAATCTGTTGCAAGTTACACCTGACCGCAATGGTTCCTTCAGAATAAAAGCTGAACCCCACGACCCCTTCAGGGTCCCGGAGACGCCAGTGATAACCTGTCGTGATCTGGAAGCATTCCCAGACTAGTTTGGTCGGCACCGCTGCTTTTCTACCAGCTTCGGTACCAAGGAGGGTCCAAGAGGACCTCAGCATTCTGGATCTAATCCATACCATAGAAGAAGAAGAAGAAGAAAATATCATTTCTATAGCGCCTCTCAAGATAAAAATCACGAGGCGCTTCACAAAAACAAAAACACAAAGTATAAAAATTGTAAAAATATAAAAAAACATTTCGAAAATGTTTAAAAATATATTTAAAATAAGCAAGAATAAGCAATTGCGATAAAAAGAAAAAATGTTAAGAAAGCGAGAGAGTGAATAGGAAAGAAGGAAATCAGTGGATCCTGAGGAAGGTGGAATAGGTGGGGAGAGCAGAATAAAGAGAGAGTGATGAAGAAGGTCATCCAAAAGCCAGCTTGAACAAGTGAGTCTTCAGCTGCTTTTTGAAGGAGATCACTGAGTCCACTGATGTCAGGCTCAGGGGGAGAGAGTTCCAGAGTCTGGGGGCCACAGCAGCAAATGATCTGTCACCTTTGGTCTTTAGCCTGGTGCTGCACAACCAGTAGGCTTTGATCACTGGACCTCAGGGACCTGCTGGGGGTGTAGGGACTAAGAAGATCACAATGTAAGATGGTGCTTGTCCATGTAAGGCCCTATAGACCAGAACCAGGATCTTGAAATGAACCCTGAAGTTGACTGGCAGCCAGTGAAGCTGGAGGAGAAGCGGGGTGATGTGGGTGTGTTTGGAGGACTTGGTCAGAAGCCGAGCACAGGCATTCTGAACCACCTGTAGACGGTTCAGGGAGGTTCTGCTCAGACACATGAAAAGAGAGTTACAGTAGTCTAAGCGTGAGGAGATGAAGGTGTGGAGAACTGTCTCAAGTTCAGAGCGGGACAGAATGGGACTCAGCATGTCACGTTGTGGAGGGAAGGTGAGGGAGGAAGAGCGGATCCTTCAGGCAGGTAAATCAACCCAGGCCAGACAGCAGCAGACATTTGGTTCCTTTTAATGGTTAGGAGTGCAGACATGACAGGTAGACCGATGTGAACATAAACTGACATGTAACGAGTACGAACCGACAAAACCACAAGCAACACACAAGGCTTATATACACACTGGGATGGGTAATCAGGTAACAAGAGGCAGGTGGACACAATTAAGGAAAAACTCAAGGCACAGGGGAGCAATAATGTGACATTACCCCCTTCTCAAGGGCGGCTCCTGACGCCCAGCAGCACCCGCTCACGGGCAACACAAAAACACAAGTCACCAAAGTCACTGAGAGTCAGGGGACCAGCGTCCAAGGGCGGGGCAAAGCCACAGGGATTCGAGACCACTGGAACCAGGAGCACAGGAATACAAACTCGAAAGACAGGATCTCTCAAGCGGGGCAAAGCAGGAACCTCCGCTAACCAGCTGTAACGAAGGTAGCCAGAGGAGCAGCAGGAGGACAAGTAGGTATGGGGAAATCCAGCAGCAGCGGCGTAACGCCCCTCCGACCCACCAGAAGGAGAGGAGGCATCCAGAGGAGAGACACCGCACTGAAAGCGCAGACCCAGAAGGCGGAGACGCAGCACCTCGAAGCCTGACCCACCAGGAACACAGAGGTGGCGCCAGGTTACGCTGCGCCTGGCCAGCAGCGTCAACAGCAGATGGAGATGAGGAGAACGACCAGATCGACCACCCGGAGAGTTGTGGATGGGCCGAACGAGCGTCGCGTCCTCCTCGATCTTGAGCACAGGAAATCCCCAGAAGACCTGGGCAACTCACTGCAGGATCCTTCTGGTCGGTTCGTTCTGTCACGTTGTGGAGGGAAGGTGAGGGAGGAAGAGCGGATCCTTCAGGCAGGTAAATCAACCCAGGCCAGACAGCAGCAGACATTTGGTTCCTTTTAATGGTTAGGAGTGCAGACACGACAGGTAGACAGATGTGAACATAAACTGACATGTAACGAGTACGAACCGACAAAACCACAAGCAACACACAAGGCTTATATACACACTGGGATGGGTAATCAGGTAACAAGAGGCAGGTGGACACAATTAAGGAAAAACTCAAGGCACAGGGGAGCAATAATGTGACACAGCAATGTTCCTGAGATGGAAGAAGGAAGAGCGAACAAGAGAACTGACATGAGAATCCAGGGTGAGAGCTGGGTCAAAGGTCACGCCAAGATTCCTGACAGAAGGTTTGGTGTGGGAAGCAAGCTGACCAAGAGAGTCTCTGACTTTAGGAACCAGCTTGTCTGGGGCACAGATGAGGATCTCAGTCTTATTTTCATTCAGCTGAAGAAAGCTCCCAGCCATCCAGGTTTTGATAGAGTCTAAGCAGGTGTGTAGCATCTGCAGCTTAGACATCTCATGGGGCTTAAAGGAGATGCACAGTTGGATGTCATCTGCATAAATATGGTATGAGATTCCTTTGAAGGAGCTCAGGACAAACACTGCCAGCATTTAGACTCAGGGTAAAAACAAGGTCTAGAGTGTGCCCCCTGGTGTGTGTGGGGCCAGAAACATGCTGGGTAAAGCCGAAGGTGTCCATGAGGCTGGAGAAATTCATGGCAAAGAGATCGGAGGGATCATCAACA